GGTCCTGACAAATAACTGCACATCAACCTCGTGTGATGCCAATGATTTAACAGGTAGTGTTACTTTAAGTATCTGTTCGGAGGAGATATACAATGCCCACATGATTTTCATCCTCGAGTAATTACACAGGAATGTCAGGAATGAGGTATTTCTAAAACTGCGCTTGAATCTGATACGTTTGGACTCTATCAAAACCTCCAGTTGACCAAGTCTTTGAAGGTATCCATTTGTTATTGGAGAAGAGCGACTGCTGGCGTTTCCACGAGCCGAAACCAGAGTCATCACTAAGTCATGCCTTTAGAAACGATTGACAGGACACCCGATGATCGGAGACCGGTGCCCATGACGGAATGACAGTTCAAACCCATTGTCCATCCCTCACTAGCCTAACCTAACGCCTGGCGGAAAAAGATCTGTAATGGCTTTACTTGGTTATCTAAGCCAAGTAGGGACGAATATTTATCTTGGGTATGTGGATAATTACAGTGCGCGACCGATCTCATGAAATGTTGGCCAAAATCCTGCAATGCGTTTCCAGTTAGAAAGGATTAATAAGATGGAGTTGTAATATTAATTGTCATGTAGCATAATCTTACGGTAATTCAGACTCGCGAGGATGTCGGCTTTTGAATGCACTTCTTTCTGGCCTCCCGCAGAAACCATACTCGGTAAAAACTGACTACTTAAGTTGCATGCATTTTTCACATTGGTTTTCGGTGGTCATACAGATTCAAATATATTTTGTAGAAAACATGCACAAAATGTGCTTTATTTTATTTGTTTGGTAGAAAATCACATTGTCATCACATTCTATATCCGAAAAAGTGTATATTTAGATTTTGAAAAAGTTTTCCAATTCCCGAACAATTTTGAGCCAGATCAGCCGTTGCATTAATGTCTAGCGATTTGGTCTACAGGCTGAATGCGTTCCGCGTAAAGAAAATCGCATATTTCTCTACGCCTCTAAGAAGGTAATACACAGAGTTCATAAAATTTTGCAAAGGACGCGGGCTATGTTGCACATTTCATGCAGAGCATTGGTAAACGGACACGTGCGATGCCGTACATATGGACACCGCACGGTCTTAAAAACCTCACAATTAGAAACCTTTTAAAAACCGAATGATAACCCTCTTTAGGGTATAAAATATAAAGTGTTTTTTTCCTACCAAACAAGTAAAAGAAAACCTATTTTTATGCATGTTTTCTATAAAATGCATTTGCATTCGTACGACCACCGAAAATCATTGTAGCCATTTTTTACCAAGTATGGTTTCTACGGTAGGTCAGAAAGAAGTGCATTCAAAAGCCGACATCCTGCCGAGTCTGAAATACCGTAAGATTATGCTACATGACGATTATTCTTACAGCGTCACTTTATTAATCCTTATTAATCGAAAACGCATTTCAGAATTTCGGCCAACATTTTACGAGATCGGTCACGCACTGTAGTCTAACTTGATAGGGGCCGTCATTAAACAGCGGGTGGGTGGGAAGGCAACGACGATCTGCGCCTGGACTGGATTAAAAGCAGGGGAACCTGTGCAGAACCGACCACTCTCTCTCTCTCTCTCTCACCACCTCTTTCTACGCTTATCGTGTTTAACTGGCAGGATCAGGTGAGGAAGTTTGGTTTGAGCGCAGTGGATGGCCAGGCGTTTCGCCCCGCTCTCTCGCGCGTCCCACATTTTCCTACGTCCCATCTAATCTGACGAGCTAGTACTGTCCGTCTTACGGGCCCACGGGCTGTCTGTATATGCGCGTGAAGCCGGAAATTCGGCGTCTTATCTACTGAACATAGACAAGTGCCCAAACTAGATAGTCCAACTCAGAACAGGGGAACTAACAAACCTGATCTGTGTGGAAACGGTCTTCGCAGTGGTCTGTAGGATTAAAAATCCAGAAAACAAACACGAGCATTCAAAAGTTAATATGACTGCGAAGGAGCACGAGCAGACTAAAGAAGACGATGGAAACTGTACAAGACCCATTCAAGTCTGAACTGAAGTTACGGTTTATCAGAGTTAGAAAAGCATACAATCATCATCAGACAGTTAATTCAACGTCGACTCGCCTATAGGCTGCGAAAAGAACAGAAAATGTCTACTAAAACAATCACAAAGAGGGTAAACGTGTCGTAGGAACATACGTGACGGTGTCTTGGATGGGGAAAGTACGCAGGACTTGTATCTTTTGACTGTCTGGAAGGGATTTCTTTGGAGGTTACATGTCCCAGGTTTAAACTGGTCGATCCGGATGCCTATGGGATCTTTGGCAGAATCCAAACGCATGAAAGACCTCTTTAGGGAGGACTGATTAGAACATGCAGTGGAGGTATGTATTTGGGCTTCCGGACAAGTCAAAGAACCCGCACTATAATCCCGAATCTCTTCTCGTTGTGGATGGATGGAGCTGATACTTATCTGATTTCCAGCATCAGGCATCGGAGCCTTGAGAATTAAGCGATTTTCAGCCGGTTCTTGAGTCCTCACATCGTCTTTAAATGCAGCTGGAAAGGACAACAGAGGAGACGCCGAAAAAATCAACATATGTCTATAGCACACGGTTTCCATCTTGTGTACATCATCAAAAACCAGAAAATCTAGCTTTATCAGTACGAATGTATAGTGCTCAATGCAGGGTTCCATCACCTTCGTGTTTAAACATGTGTTTCGGCCAACCACAGACACGGCAGTGGCATATTAGAGATCCAGTAAAGGCCCTTTAAACCGACTGATTTTATTTAAACAAGCTGCTTCGACAGGCCGTAGAGGTGATGACGAGATTTTTAATGACCACTCAGAGGCACATTTTGTCCTGCAGATGGGACTAGTTGAACGCAAGATCCCTCTAAATGCGAAGTTCTTCATCACAGCCGTCAGAGTCGCCCGTTACTCACTCGTTAGGGGTTTTGGTTATGGTTCACGACAGTGCTATGGGCTCAAACCTTTGGCATGAGAAGGGACAGGACCGGCTGATGACAGAGAAACAACGGAAGCGATCACTCAACTGCCTGCTTCTCGGCCCACCTATCACCGACGGCTCAAGTTTGTCCGTTGGACTCGGCGAGAGCTACTACTAATCTGGGAAGTACCAGTGACTCGTGAAAGGATCTGCGCACTGACTGACTGGACACTGCGCCCGCCAGTCGCCTGGCCTCCGTCTAAAGTCTGAGGCAACAACACTTTTCGATATTCGTTCGCAGGCGGGAGCAACGTGCAGTACGCTAACCAGACAGGCTCCGTACTCCAATCACTTTCATAGACCGCCCAGATAAATCTGGGCACTGCATGTAGGATATCGGGCTTCTATCGCATGAATACGGGACTTATGTCGCAGGGTAAAAATCACAGATGATATATCTGAAATCATGCTTTTTAAACTGAGGGATGCCGAATAAAAACTATTTCAGATAACTACAGAAATCCTGCAACTTTTATCTTGCTGTGCAACGGGAAAACAATAGCAACCCACCTTCTTCACGTGGTTTAAAGAGTGAACTGTCGGCCACTTGCACCCAATCGCAGTTTTCAAAGAGTTTCTTGAGATCCATGTCAATTTCCTCCATCGCCTTTTTCCTCATTGAAACAAAACGCCGGTCCTTCGAGTTTTGTAAGTACTTCATCGCATCGCAGTCAGCGGATATCTAAACATAGTTTAAAAGAATTCAACAATACCATTGAGGAATTATTTAAAAAAGTCTTTTCGCAACGATCGGTGAAGTCCTTGGTTAGATATTCAACCTGACATTTGGTACATAATGCTGAAGTTTAACGCACGCAAAAGCGGACATCTGTTGGAAATACGAAGAAACCATTTAGACTGTAGAAGGACTATCTTTACCGTAGGAAATTATTTTGTTTTATCCCGTGTGTTTCGCAAGGATGGAGCACTGAGAAGAAAACCAAGCAAACCGATAGTTCGAAATGGGGTAAGAGGAATGGAAGAAGTTCCGATTCTCTGCTTGGAGCTTGAGAACTCAGGTACAACTCACGGGTTTGCCACTTGTTAGAATACAGTGTTCATGACAGGTTATTCACTAATCTATTAGGGTTTACTAGCGGAATGCAGGGAAACTTTAGTGTGTGGGCAGGCAAAGCAAGCATATTGTCGCAGGAATTGTCTGCGTTATTGGCGAAAAGGATAAAATATTTAGCGATCTCATGAAGGACAAAATTACATAGTTATTGCAACCTGAAATATGATGACTAATATGCATTCTACAAATTCACCCTACTTTAGCAGTATATTCTTCCAAAGAATTTCCACAGGAGTTCATTTGAATTGCTGTCAAATCCCACCTTCATTGTCTGCAGCATGCACGGACGATGTGGAGGCGGATGAAAGCTCCAAGGAATCCGGCTTTCTCTCCATTTAAACAGGCGCCAACTAGATAGCCTAGGTCATGCCTTGCCTATTTTTCTCCGGAGAACCAGCAGATTCGACGGAAGAACATTAACTTGCATGATCTTATTGGCAGTGTAAATGGGAGCGGTTTTCGAATCAGCTCATTTTTTGCACTTGCAACAAACCATGGAGGGTCCGTAATAGGCACAAATTACGACGCATTTTTGAAAGGACGAGTAAAAGGTACCCGGACTTGCATTTTGCATATGTCTCTCTTCCTTTCGATCGACGTCCAATTTGATCGGGATCCGCACCAGCTTATCCTCCTTGCATACAAACAAGTACCCAATGTCTGTCTTCTCCACGGACGGTGTTGTGGTGACACCCGAGCCCCCACAGGTCTGTATAGGCTTGTAGATTTGTGGCTCTACCTGGTGGGTTAGGAGGAAAGTATACAAACCCAGAAAAAGTAGCGGTGGACAAGAAACACAAGAAATTACATCTGATCCTCCTTGAGAACCTGTCATAAAAAAGTACATACGTTAGATTTCAGCAAAGCACGCCACATTGGCCCCAGACGCTTCGACCCAATTAAACAACTGGCCACTTTCCAAATGCACAAAGGGGGTGAGATGCACATACTTCAGCCGAAAATGTCGATCGGAGAGGCCATTGACAGCCTGGGCAAAAACTGCTCTCAAGTTCACGAAACGACCAAGCATTTTGCCGGGGACATGTCGGCCCTCGTAGATGCGGCCCATCCAACCCTCTCAATTGCTGATAAGGAAACCAGATCTCCCCCACCCATTTCTTGTGATACCCCCAGCCGATTTACAAGAGGCCGTAGCACTAGCAGGGAGATTACGGCAAGTGGCGAAATCACGATGGCCAAATCAACCAGGCCCTCAGATTCCAGACCGCCAGGTTTACCACTGGAAGATTTCGGCACCTTCGGCATACAGCGGCCTCAGAGAGATATCATTGCAGCTCGCGACGAACAGGTTTCCACGGAGCAAATACGACGTCGCCGACGACGCCAAAACATTCCACGAACCCTCGTATTTTTCCTGGCCGCCAAGATACAGGGTAAGATTGACTTCTATGGCTTCCCAAACAGGACATGAGAATGGGAACCGCCTGCAATACTGGTGGCTTTGAGCCAACTTCCAGCGAAGCTACAGTTAGGTTTAAGGTTTAAGTTAAGATTGATTTAAGGAGTGGGTTTAGGGCTAGATTTAAAGTTAACGATAAGGTAGTCTAGGACCAAGTTTAGGGCCAAGACAAGGGCAGAGTTAGGGTTTAAGGTTGAGATTATGGTAACGGTTCAGTTTTATATCAAAGTTATTTTTGGGATTAGGACACGGGAATATTTGCCCTTCACGGAATTATGCGCAGGTCTACCTCTATTACTTGGGCGGGACGTTCCTATACCCATGTCCTGTCTTACTGACAGGGATTTTGTACTTCTTTATTTGAGACCATGCCTTTCGAATTTTGCAATGCGGTCGCTACATTTCAGAAACTGATGCAAGTAGTCTTGAATCACTTATATCCGCAGCAGGGCTTGATTTATCTCGACGGCGTGGCTGTTTCGGGGAAGACGATTAAGCAATGCAACGATAACTTGTCCGAATTATTAACGGCTATACAAGATGCGGGACTTCAACTCAACCCCTCGAAGTGTCGGCGCCTCGGTGACCAGGTTGATTATTTAGGTCATGAAGTCAGTGCTATGGGTAGACGAGCAAATTCTGAAAAAATAAACACCATCCGATCCTGTGCGATACCTCAGCCCAAGACGAAATTTAGAGGCTTACTATGATTAGCTTCCTATTGCCGTCACTTTATGCACCATTATGCTGACAGCACCGTCCCCCCTCGTAACGATTATAACACTTTCCGGCGACAAGCATGGGGTCCGCTTCGCTATCGCCGGTATGACAGGCGCAACGTCACATATAATAACATGGCCATCTCATGTAATCGGAAAAAATGTTCTTGGTGTGTTATGGTACATGTTGCGGGTTGCTTGGATGTGTCAGCTACTACGCCCAATCCCACTTCGGGTTGTCCTAACATAGTTGCGCCATAGGACCCTGGTGGGTGAGGGAGGAGAGAATGTGGTAGATGCTTCGAAAGTCCGCCTCACCATCGACTAGTTCACACGCAAGTGGCCGGAGCCGCATCCAGTCCGTGCGACACCAGTGACCGGAAGTCGTCGTCGGACTGTTGCCTCGATGAACTTAAAGAAGCATATTTTCCGCCCATTGTGCCGCATTTCGAAACTATTCCAAAATGCTGAAGATCAGGCCCAATGTCTGTCAAAAAAAAACAAATTATGAGGGCGATTCTTCAGTTATCGTCGCCTGCTACTGCAATCCATTCCCCTTCTGTCGCTTTCCGCTTCCTTCTTGAAGGCGGGCGCCTTGCCTCCGTGTAAGATCACCCCGCCTACAGAGTAGGCAGTAAATTGACCAAGCAAATGACGACTATTTTTAGTCCCCCAGAGTTCAAAAAGGAGATGGGAGAGAGAGAGAGTCCGGTGGCGGCGAGAGGCCGGGTGTGTGGGGGGCGATGCCCCAACGCGGTGGTGACGCAGTGTTTGTGGTGGCCAGACAGGGCTGGCATCGCGGCAGCAGTAGCAGCAGCCGTAGGGGAAGGGGGGAGGGTACACCGAATGTCTGGTACCAACCCCGCAGGCGGTCTGATAACGTGAATCCGCACGTCAGCATCGCCACCGCCATCGCCGTCGCTCTTGGCGCTGTCGGCGTCGCTTAGGCGCCAGGCGCACAAAATGCACGGTTGTTGCTGCTTTCCCGCCCTCTCACCTCTTTGTGCCTGTCTGTGCGTGTGTGTGTATGTGCCAAGAAAACCCCGCTAGGGCGACGGCTGAACGACTCACAGCCATAGGATGATGAAGGTCGGGGACCCGCACCCCCTCTCAGGCGCCATCAACAAGTTCCCATATCACAGGTCTTTGCCATGATACATTGCGCCCATATGGCATGAGGGAAAGGAGAAACCGGATGAGTGAAGACGCTTGCCCACACGGCGAGTTGACTGAGTCATACATGCAGTCACTGGTTATGGTCAGTATTTGTAAGATGACTGACTGGTTTGGACATCCCCTGGTTGTGTTCTCTTTCACTGAAGTACATGTTTGACTCGTAGCCTCCATTGGCTGCGGAGACGGCTCACTGAGTGAGGAAACTGTCCACAGCCTCTGCTTTTTATACAGTTCATAACTACACCTAACTACCTGCAACAATAGATTTTGATTGTTAAGGATTTAAGAAGCCTGCTATTTTGGACGCCATTCAGCCTAAGGGACAGATTAACCGGTGCAGCTGGGGACGTGGACGGCACCGATTTTACGATTAAACATATGTCCACTGAGTTTGGAACCGTAGCAAAACGACTACCTTTGCTATTGGGAAACTGAACGATGGAAAGGACTGACATCGGCAGGAAATATCTTACTCCAGGAGGTTAGGCAGTGAACAGAACACCGACCTTCAGGTCCTTAGAACGCAAAACAAGAACTCGTGTTTAGTTAAATTCATATGCCTTGGGGCAGGAGGAATGCCAGCTGCATGCGGCAAAAGTGTTGCCATTTCCGACAGAAGCAAAAATACGTGCTGTCGGATATTAATGGTGGCAGAGAGGATATCAGGATTCGTATATTTCCCAATTGCCATCATGCGGGTTTAGGTAGGAAGGCGTTCACAGTAAATTTGCCCTATGCCGCGCGGGTTTCTCCGTTTGCGGTGAGTTAGCCAGTCACATGAATTAGAAATGAAATGTAGAGGAATTCGACGAATAAAATTACATTCATAAAAGTTATTTAAGTAAACCTACGACACTCGAAAGCACTTTTCCTCCTTCTCCTTCCTTCTTTTTCTTCTCGCCTATTGAGCTTGATGCTAAAGGAGAAGGGAAAGCGTTTTGTAGAATTGCATATCACACAAACTCCTATCAAATGTTTCCATGCGCAAGGGATCAAGTACTGGTTTCTCTTGAATCTACTCCAGAATTTTAACTTAAAATGCAAGGCTGTGTTTTATCAATGCATAACCGGATATTTCAGCAAGTTCGACGCATTTCTTAGCTCATCAGAACGAAGAGTGAACCAAAAGCCACATACGGTGTGACGCATTGTCTTCGTATATTCATTTAGACAAAACCTCTGTCACAGGTGCCGTTTTAATGAAGGTGGTTTTAGCCGTTCGCTTCGTAATATTATTGACATCTAGCATCTTGACGAACAAAATGTGGATTAGGGAGAGCGAGCAACAGTGGCACGTCGTTAACTAAAAACAAAGTAGTTAATTTTTATTTCAGGTTTACTAGAAGAATTGCGCCGAGGCTGGCACCAAAAAGATAGGCTGACAACGATGGGGTGTAGGACTCCCAATTACCTTGAGCTAGCCTGTGGACCATGTCATACGTTGAATGGTGGTAGAAAGGGTTTTACGGCTGGGGCAACGCACAGGACGGAGAGTAAAAAGACAGAAAATGGACAAATTTCTTCCGAAAATCTTATCGTACGCTGTCATATAGCAAAGAAAGTGAGCGCGATAATTTAAAAATAAACAAAGTGCAAATTTAACAAAATACCTGACTTTAATTAAAGAGCCGCTGGTAAGTTGACATTGAGTCAGGAATGGAAGGAAATTTCAAACAACGGAACGGTGAATAATAACTGATGTTGGCAGTCACGCCGAATTTTAAGGTATATTTTTAGAGTTGCCATTTACTTGGGGGTCCTACGCCCTATCGTTACTGATAAGCTTTTTGCCCATATTACCCGGTTTTCGTTTGCGTCATCAACGGTAGCAATTTAGACTTCCATATGAAACCAATTTGATTAGTGTTTTACAATTACGCGCTTTTTGGCATTGGTTGGATGGGAGGGGGGAGAGGGGAGGTCGAGGGCACATTGTCCATTTTTCCATCTTGATTGCAGAACGATTAATCCTTTTACCTCGAAGTTCCACCCTATAGTACGTACAGGCGGTTGTATGGAGATGTGTTAAAAAACAGAATCGGCCACACCATGCCGCACCGTCCTTTCCCCTAGAACGGGCCACGTGGTAGATGTGCTGGGTCAACACAGAGGTTAAATCAGAGTCCAGAAGGCAATATTGGGAAGGCGCACCCATAACAAGTGCGATGGCACGCTCATGTGTGGGCTGACGCCGTGTCAAGTGGTATCCGTGACACCCCCTATTCTTCTTGGTGCATAAAATCCTCGTCAGTGTACGTTGTGAACCAGGGATGTGGTGGTGCGACTAGGTGCGAGGTTTTCGTCGTACCAGCCACCTGCACCCCTCCCGCCTCCGGTCTTCTTGACTCTGTCTTGACCTCGGCTTCCGGTGCGGGAGGAGGGCAGAGTGCGGTAGGTGCTGCGCAAGCCTGTTATTGGTTTAAACAAACTCACACGCAAATCACCGTCAGTGCTCTCACCCTGCTGTGGAGCACACGGTGGGCATTGTCGGCAACGACGGTCGAACTGTCGTGCCGATGGCACTTCTCGTTTAGCGTGCATAAAATGAAAGGTATGAAAAAAACTAAATAACCTTCATTTGCAGTTTCTTGTTGCACGGTGGTAACCTTCAGCTTGTTGCTCGGGGGAGCCGATTTGCAGCTGAAAAAGATTGCAAAAAATAGGATTATTGTGAATTATTCAACTGAATTCACCGTGCAAAAGGAAGTCAAACTCTTTCGTCAAATGGACTCATAGTTCTAAAGTACATTAACACGTTCACCTGTCTGTCTGCAGAATGCAGAAGCAGAGTACCATAAGCGGTATCTACTGGAGCAGTGACAACTTATTGATGTGTGCAAACTATTATTCCCCAAAGTAATGCCCATGACCCTGAGTAAACTGAAAAATGAGTAGTGGAGTCTGCCCACGTTAGTACGAAAGAGCTTATCCGAGCGGTGGATGATTCGAGAAATCGGTTCATCTAAAAATAGGTTAATTATGAACGACACGTATTATGCCAAACATATGCCCCGATGACCTGGTTTTCGTGCCCTGAGTGGGGTCGCATACTGAGTCCTTGTCCATCTCTCCATCAGTACTTCAGATAAAGACTATGAAACTCTCAAGGACAGTCTACGAAAATAATAATAAAACCGAATATGCAGTAAAGTGGTATTTCGGCAGAAATATACACACTTTTTAAGACAGAGTAACATTACCAACAAAGACAAGGGAGACTGGAACGGCCATTTCTGAACTCTTTAGGTGTCGTCCGATTTCTCTGCCATCAGGACGCACTACGCTTAATACCGAAATCTCGCCTCGCTCTGAATACACTAGTTCTACTGCTCTTTGAATGCGCCAGTCGAAAAAATACTAACGTTCGTTGATTTCTTGAACAAACGGTTGTCGTAATCGTATTGATCAGCGGTGACAACCACTTCAGCCTGGACACAATGCAACACTCACATTGCATCACATCCTCTGTCCAGATGCGAAAAACGCTAACAAATAAGACACCTTCTTATAATTGTGGGATATGCGTCTTGATCATTCTTATTACTTGATATTATTTGAAACACTTTTGTGACAAAAATTTGCCCATACTGAAGACTGTTTTTTTTCTTTCGTATGCAAATACCGGATCGATCTACAAAGCAAGTTTTGTTATCTGGCTGCATATGATGGGTATTCATGCAACAGGATGAGCAAAACCAGGGAAGCTTGGACCGACGGTGTAAAAGGTCTATCCTTCGTATCGACTTACTTGCTCAGCATTCCCAACCCAACTCTGTGGACGCCATGCTTGGCAAGGTTGCTTATTCGAGAGATCTACAACAGGGGGTCGTCCACGTTGACTCGGTTATGTCGAAATAGTAGACTTCGGCCAATCTAAACCAATTAACTTTACCCAGACGAGAGCGTAGAGGAAACTGCTAGAAGAACTTTTACCTTATCCACTAACGTTTCGAGGCCGTGCTGGATTTTATAACCCCGCAAATTTATGACCTCACAGGAAAATGCAGCACATTTAGTTGGACTCCGCCAAGCATCCGAATGGCAAGTTCACTGTGACTGGCCACAGTTGTGTGGACATCCAACCGAAGGGCTAAAATGTGACAGCATCTCCGCACTCACTTTTACCACCCAACAGAGGTTAAGAACGTGGACGCGCCTCGCACCCATTTTTTGTATCATGAGAGTTCGACCGTCGGTTTCGACGAGGTTCACCGTGTGCTCCAAAACAGAGTGAGGGCAGGAACGGTGGCTAGCGTGTGAGTTAGTTTATAGTGATAATAGACTTCCTCTTCGCTCTTCTTCCCTCTCGCCCATCTGGGTCCGGTGTTAAGACAGATTCAAGATGACCAGAGGCGGGGGAGGACGCAGGTGGCTGGCACGGTGTAAACCTGCACCTGGACGTACCACCACACCTGGTTCACAACACACACTAATCAGGATTTTACAACCAATTAGAAAAGAGGGCGGCGGCTCGGATCTCACGGAATGGTGATGCCATATTAAGCAGCAGCCACTACATCCTGATTCTCAATCCACCTGCCGGCCACTTCACACAAACACACGCTGGGCTGACTGCGAGGTCCGAGTTATCCCGTCAGTTGACAACCTTCCAAGCGACGATTTTTCGCGCACCGTAATAGCTTCAAAAGCGTTAGATAGTTTATAGTGAGTAAAATATGGTGAGCCGTCGACCTCACTCTCTATTCCCATTCTCAGGTCTTGGCCGTCTTCTGAGTCGGTCAGTTGACAGGTGCGGAGAATGGGCGCGGTGGCCGACGTGATCCAGTGACCTTGTCTGCGCGTGCCACGCGCACGACCTGTCCCGCCAAACACGCAAAAAGGGGTGGGCGGCGTACACTTCACATACGTTAGAGTCCTGGAGGTCACGTTAGGGAGATGCCATTGCAGCCTGACTCTCAGTCTACCAGTCGGCCACTCCGCACAAACACGCTGGATTGGCTGAGAGGTCTGAGTTCCGTCGCCGGTTGGCAACCTTCCAAGCCACTGCGCTTAGCGCTTAGGCTCGGTTCTCACATGTAGCAGAGGAGTAACATGGAGGAGGAGGAGGAGGAGCCGAGGACCACATTTTCTACTTACGTGAAAGGTGGCACTAGCGTGCTTGCGTTGTGTGATGTTGAGTGTGGTTATGTATGGTCATAAACCTGCATGAACATGGTTTGTGCCTATGTTATTGACTAGAGGGATCATAAAAGCACGGTCGGTCCGGTTCCTTTAGGAAAGATGAAAGAGCCAGCCACCAAGCGCTGTCGAAGGATGGGACCACATTCACGTGATAGACACTTATTCTCAGCGCAAATTCTCGTGCTTAAGGAAATATGCAGTTACTGTCAAGAAGGAGAGCAACGGCCTAATTACACCAGTCCAAAAATATCTATCCCTCCAATACACTGCAACAAATTAAGTGAAGATAAATTCATCTGTCTCACTCACTCAAGAACCACTTGGTTACATTGCTATATTCACGAAAGTGCGTAGGGCAAGTGATCTAGGAATCTGTCATGTTTTTGTGGGATAGCCAATACTAACAACAGGTAGTAGGTTTCTAGGGATGTATAGGGGATTACCAACTTTTTCTATTTGCTCTGTCAAGAGATCGTACCTGACACTGACTGTCCTCCCGTCAAAAAGACTTCCTGTAGGAGCTGCCCTTCTCTACGCCGTAGACCGTCTTTCATTTCCAGCTGTTATTTGAGCAAGCCAGGGCTTCTATTTAAAAAAATCTTGTTCAAGACCCTGATAGCAAGTGTGTACGAAGTGCGCACGCGGTTGCCAATTACAGTGGTGCTCAGCGTCAAAGATAAATGGTAATTCTTGATGCGCATATGCTTTGAACGTGGCTGAAAGGTACATGTGGCAAACCGCGTGCGAATTAGGTAACAATCATCTCAGCTGTAGAGCCGTAGGGCTCGATAAACTCGCTGACTCAACATTTTAGAGATTTTAATAGGAACAGAGCGAGCACAGGCTGCAAGAATAGGAGTGCGGAATCGCCTCATAGTTGACAGCCAAATATAGCCTCGACGAGCAGTTGTTAAATCTGTGACAAGTACAGACTGCCCAGTCTGCGGTTTAGTAGTCTTCTATCCAGCGGACTACTATAACTGTGTTGAAGCGCCCTTGCCCTGCTTAATTTCGGTTGCTATATGCCAACGCATTAAAACTCTCCCGCGCAAAAAACAAATTTACCAATTATTTATACTTATTTTGTCACTCCTCTATGCATACATAGGCCCCGCCCGTAAAACCCCTACTACCACTTTTCCCGTAAGGCAGGCACCTTTGGCTGGTCGTGTGTGTTTGGAGGCCTTCACCCGATCGTTGCCGATAGATTTAAACGGAGAATTTGAATGCACTTCAGTCTTGACATTGAGGCAAATGGCAGGTCATTTCTGAAACTAAAGATTTTAAGCAAATTTAATTAAGAGCGACGCTCGGGAGTATCCAAACTGTGTAGGACGCAGAAGGGTGGCCGTTGAAAGTGGGCATACGAGACCTGTTGTCTGATAGTTTGTCTATATCATTTAACTGTAAGCTGGCCGAACACGAGGCGACAACTCACGAAGCAGTTAGCGGCGGGAACCATGGGGATTAAAGATAGGATTGCTCATGTAACCGTGAGGCTCCAATCTAGTTTTGTTGCCTTTGTCCGGACCAAAGAGTTAATTCGTAACAAGAGTTCAAAGTGTTGGTATTTCCGGGTATGACGGCAAACGACACGGAAACTGAGGTAGTGATATTCCGTTTATGGAAATGTATGCAAATAAACACATTTACGCAACTCCACTTTTCATGGTCCAAAGGCAATGATTGGGACCCCGACAGGAAGGAGGCATTTTCAATATATCGAATACTATGTCCATAATCAAGTAATCCGGAGAGAATGAGTCCTAAATATTTACGTACAACGGATAGTAAATTGAAGTCCTCTACCCTCTACCAAACTGTACTTGTCACAGCTAACATCAGTGCTGCTTTAGCTGGCAACAGCGCCACGGACCAGTGCGGTTCATGTTCTACGATAGTTGGTTGGACACTTAAGAATCGTTTTCCGGTCTGCGTTACCATATTCTAAGGCTTTGCAGCGCCAATTTGACGGACAACGGAGAAAATTTGATTGGACGAATGTGGGTAGAACACGTTGCGACTTCACAGGTAGCCGTGACTATGAAGTGTAACCTCTGTCATGCCAAATCAGATGTCAGCAAGAATCCCGCTTTTGGACAGACAATTGCTTCCTAGGGCGTCACCGACTCTCAGAAAATCCAACCAGCGTATGTCAAACATATCCTTCTGGCAGTCCAAAAACGCAATGAAATTCTGACTCGCCGTACAGTGGTTGTTTGAGACGGCATAATACAAGCATCGTGTTCCGCCTGAACCGAATTCAAAGGCAAACCTCTACATCCACCCTTTCGTTATATTAGATTAGGGTTCCAGGACTGGTGGACAGCAGTAGGTTGGGTGTTATTTAATGGCGAACAACATTCGTCATGTCGTAATACCGCTATGGCTTGTGGCCTTTACATTAGCAACTGATTTTTCAGATTTGTGACCGGCAACATCTGAAAGAATTACGTTGCGTGATCCGCGACCGCCTTTTCGTCAGACTTGAGAGCCTGCTTATTTCGCACTTGGTCTTTGCGAAGGCCGTTCTTACTAACCGACAGTTGTGGACTCAGCGTGTAACCTGTCCGCCTTCCTGAGGCACAAGTTATCTCCCCCCCTGGACTCGCGCAGAAAGAACAGGTGGTGGACGCTGACTTGGGGTTCTTTCTGGTGCATTAAAAGCTAAGCGCTACTTCGCGGTGCCCCTTCGACCAAGCCCACGTGGGCACGGTGCTTTAAATGTTTAACAGGTCGATCATGGGCACCGTTCAGCGACTGAATGGCGGGGGAAGACAAGTTGGACATGCAGGGTGGTGCAATAACGCGGGGCAACGTCAGACACTGGATGCAGTAAAAGAAAAGTAGGTTAGACAGGCCTGCGTTATAATGAGTCAGGTTGGGTCCAAAATGTGTGCATAGTCTGAAAATATGCATGCTGTTATCACGGCCAGAAACGTGAGCGCAAACAGTTTGCACGAAAAGTCACTGATGAAGAATGTCATGCTATCTGCCTACAGCGCATTAGAGCACAGAAGTAAAGGGGACTGCCACAAAGCAGGGTTGTGCCGCGCAACAATTTCCATGATAGCAATTTCTGCAGCTGCGAGTACACACTTCGAACATCCAGATAAACAGGACGTAAGTTAATATGGACAAGTACGGGAAATGGACACAGTTTTGCTCATAAAAAAGACTATGAACAAGAAATCGGACTGGGAAGTTTATAGTAATTTCGCCACGACGACAGAATACCGAACATTCATTAAATTGGTATATGCAAACCTGGGAGAGGCCCCTAATGACTGGACAAAATCCAAGTATTTCCGGAGGATAGACCCATTAAATAAAATTTGCCTCAAATAAATCACCGACGTAGGAGTCGCAATGACCGAATGTGCCAAAGCCGTTCGTTCGCGTATAAAATCTTATCCCTTTGGCATGGCAGGACATCCATCGGATAAGAAGCAAATAGTTGACAGGAGAGCGGAAATGAGGCGAATTTACGACATTATTGTGGCACTGAGCAAAATCCATTGATGGCTTGAGAACGGCCAAACGCGAACAGATCTACTGGGATGTGCTGGTAGTACTGACTTCGTTAGTGTCTGTCTTAAGACATGACAAATTGGGCTAATGAAACGCCGTGTTCCTTTTTTCGATTAGATGAGCATAATCCACCTTGTCTACTATAAGTGAACCATCAAAGGCACAGTGAGACCATTAATGGACTCAATTAGGGGATGTTACACTAGAAAAACAGGGTTATCCAAAGGCAAGTTGTTGGCGCTGGAAGACTGACACTCGCGGCGACACAGCTTACTGATGTGCTTTCAATAAACCTGCCATTATTTGTGGCAATAGCTTTACAGCCCCGTAATGGACGTTTGCGAAGTTTAGCGTTTGGAAGGGGTCAAGCAGGTTAACCATCTACTAGAGATTCACGGACCAAAAACGTGATAAAGGCGACTGGGTGTCGACGTCACCTAAAGTGCTTCGAGAGGGTGAACTCGATGAATTAGGGCAAAATCTCAGAAAGAGCTTTTCCCCCAACAACCAGCTGCGCATACTGACGAATAACAATTGGGTCCTCTCTTTCTGCTAGTCCGTGTTGCCACCCATGAGCGGAGAAATGCTCGATTTCCTGAACCACCGACTTCGTCATCTGTACAACATTACTTACTTGACAACACTCCACATGCGAAATCCGTTGTCAGCATCACGTAATTAAAATTTAGATTCGCTGTTAAAAATTATGCGGTTCAACATACTAATGTTCCATCTTTCGACTCTGATTATGGAGCCCAAGCACGACACTTGGTAATTCTAAGAAGACATTTCCTTCCTGTCTCTAGGATGACGCCCTTTCGAGGTATAAAATCGAGAGTTTGCCCACAATGCCAGGCCCTTTGTCAGTTGCTCTACCAAGACTCGGCTTATGGATCCTCCTATCATCCTAAGTTCAGCAGTCTGTCAACATACTTTCTACCTGCGAACGTTACCCGTACTGGTGCGACTTCACGTGCGTACATCTCCGCTACGGACCTGGCTCAGGTTGTGAGGTTTTCACCGCTAATCCAGAGCCACGACAGGTCCGCTCAATAGTTACCCAGGCTTTGCATATCTTTGGACGGCCTTAAATGATCGCCTGGGTGTTGACACTGACTACCCGACAGACGCGGCAAATATGCGCGAAGGAGGAGTCGAGGTCCTGAGAAAGACCGTCATCAGCCTTTTATGTCGCTTTACCTCCCGCCAATAATGCACTTGGTAGATAAGTCTATCCAGTTTATGCCTGGGCACAATGTCGAGTGTTGATGTTCACACTCTGTTGTCTGTGTTTTCTCGATCGCGACTGATTTAGGAGGAACTGCAGCTTGTAGTCGACAGAACAAGTCAGTCCCTAGCTATTAACTTAGCCACGTATCTGTTATAAGTGTACCAAAATGTTTTCAAATACAACATTTCGCTGTCATTTATGCTCTATGAAGACTCCTATAAACATTAAGTGAGTCCGGCTAAGTCGATACTCTCGCACTGAAGGCCGAATTCAAAAGCGGGGAAGTAAAATTCGGCTACCATGATGTCTGAATTCAAGATAAACAAAGTTGAGAACCTCACCGACTGTTTCTCCTGGTCGCCAGCTTTGTCCTGCCACTGGTGTAAGTGCATCTACCTGTTCCAGCCACCGCCGAGTCGCGGGCAGACTTCTGACAATGTCCGAGGAATAGCTGGACGCTACAAGCTGTGCTGGTCGCGGCGTTGTTCTCATCAGAACAAGCGGGCACTGATGGTGACGACGATGGCGATAGGCAGAGTGCGGAGCCTAAGGTCGAACTGACTCCGAGATGCTTGAATACCGGATCGTGAGAGAGAGTCCTTCTAATCTGGTCAGTAGATCCGCTCGGCTTTTTTTCCTCCTGAACTGTGTCTGGGGGCGGTTCAGGCACTAGAAGAAAATGATGCAATGTCGTAATTTCAGACCTGAAGGCCATCACAGGGCCTAAGATGAACAAACAGTCTGCAAACATTCGCATGACTAATTGTTTGAATACTACAACTTTTTAAGTGATCGGTGTGTTACGGTGTCGCCTAAGTCCTACCATCTCCCCTGTCCTTGGTAAACCTTCATAATCCATCTGCGCTGTCACAAACTTGATCTGATACTGCTTGCTATTTTCGTTCGTTCCTTGCTATTTAGTGCAATGTTGCTCCTCGATTCCTTGACTAGAACGATCGTGTTGATATGTGGACATTTAAGAAAGGACACTTAGTCAGCATGTATCCTCTCCTTACAGACGGCCTCAGCATCGACGCCTGTATGCGCTTCCGGCCGACATCTAACGAAAATGTTTCATCTCTTCGAGTGACTTGAGAGGCGGCAAGGCTCTGAATGTTGCGACACTGAATTTGCTCAGACTGCTGATGTCCAAAACGTTACTCTCAGTCCTGGTGAATTGGCGACTTCACATCTGACGAAAATGTTCCCCCAGGCTGCCACCCTTTGCAAGACTCAATGACTTATCTTCCCATTCGTCGCATTTCCATTCTAACGTTTCTTACTTTTATTGTGTGTGTGTTGTGCCTCCCAAACGGGCCACGTGGTATATGCGCTGGCCCAACACGGGGGATATCTCGGATTTTGGTAGGCGTTATCGGATTTGTGCACCGTAACAAGTGCCAAAATTTCGGGGTGCGGTGGTAGACCCGGCTGCCGGCAGACGGCGCGCACTGGGACCCCTGCCGCCCCCCATTGTTGTTGTTGTTGATCAAAAACCCGGTTATTTGCTGTGTGGACCAGGGGTGTGGAGTGGAGCGCCAAGGCGAGGGCTCAACCGCGCCATCCACCTGAGCCCCCGCCTCCGGTGTTCTTGACTCTGTCTTGACACGGGGTCCAGGTGGAGAGGAGTGAGTGCGGTAGATGCTGTGCAGGTCTACACTCATTACAAACTAAATCCCGCACAAGTCATCGGCCTGTTCTCATGAACATCATCGTAATCGATGGTCGAACTGTAGTGCGTGTGTGTGTATGCGCGCGCCTGACATCGTCCCCAGTTATCGTGTTTTTATGTCCACTGTTGCCTAGGGGCCACGCTGACTGATATTCAGCTTCAATTGATTACTACCAAAGGCATACTAGCCAAGAGGAGACACTGGTCAGCAAATGCCATGAAAATTCGAATCCTAATGGATGATTCAAGTTGCTTTCTCGTATTTTTTGGGAAATGAAGTAGCTTTTCAAATACGATTACGTCTGTATACATATGCTCGCTGGGAAAAAAGCAACACTTCCGGATTTGCATTAGGCCACTTAAATCAGAGATGAGGACTGAGTTTGGGTGCGCAAGATTAGAAGGTGCCAATGTAAACATATTAGAAAAGTCTAAAAACCATGATATGTCCAAAGACTGTTCAACTCGGGTTGCTTTTCCGATCGGACGTGGTTATGTAGCCCCACCTAACGTAAAAACCACGTCATCTAATGCGGAACCAGTGTTAAGAGGGGTTTTTACAGGTGGAGCCGGAAACGCACAGGCGACGAGGTCAAGTAGTTGTATGCAAAAGAAAAGATATTGGGCATGGGCGGTTGTACTTTGAATGGTTGAGAAACAGCTGCGCTAACCCCCAACCCTAACCCCTAACTATAAACTCTAGTCCTAAACCCTAACCCTAACCTTTAGCCATGACTCCCAACTCTAACCCTTAACCCCAACCCCAACGATATTGTGTCCATCAGGTGAGTCAACCAAACCACGTCTTACGACTTTTTTTATGAACTACAGACGCAAATTTTCTTCCAAATCTAACAGGTGAACGCGGAGGCATGCAAGGTCAACTTTAACGTAACGGTTGGACTTCCGTTACTGCGTGCACAGCCGCATCTACGAAGCGAACTAAAATTCTGAAAAAGATTACCGCCTTTTAATGCAGATCCTCTGTTTGAAGATTATAGGGCTGGCAGTCTGGATGTTGCACGGGTCATTTCACAGTTCTTTTAGCTTTTATTTTTTTAATGAGGGCACCTAATTCAGACATTTACCATGACCTCACCTACCCGTAGATTCCTCGGACTCAGAAGTGCAAACCGGCATGACGACTCACGCCCTTAAATTGGTGTCTGCGTACACTTTGCAGCAAAACAGAGAACTACTGGCTGGTGTGGGGAAAGACGTACGAAATTTCAATAACGGCACAACTTTTTTCTGAACAAGATTCAAACTGGTCAAAAACGATAATGGCAGTTGATAAAACTAACAGAAATGGGCTTGGTCACCTCTCATTTGCATTGAACTCTTTATAGGATCCCTTACTTAGACGTGCGGAATTCCCGTCCATTTGCTATTTACCAACGAAAAGGTAAGATCTTTTATTTACACTTGATATGACTTTAATCATTTCTGATCTAACCGGTCAGGATTTTTTGGGGCCTCTTTAGAAGCTCTGGTATAAGCGGGCTCCAAACAGTCAAGCAAACTCTGTCTTCTTACTGCTTTGCCACGTTGAAACCTAGCCGAAGGGTAGCAGCAGCAGGTGGACTGATTTAACTACGGCTCACTGTCTTCATGTCACATAGCCGTCATCAGGCTTTACGTGCCAGAAGTCGGTCATCTGCATCCTGGCAACACCGCAGCTGCCGGTTCACGACTGTTTACTTACAAAAGCCTCCATTAAAAGCCGTCTCACCATCGCTGGCCCATTAACTTGTCGGGTAGCTAGCAACTCGGCGAATGCGAACGCCAGTTCCCATGAAACGTTATGCCAAACCCATACAGGGAAAAATTTTAAAAAATAATTCAGGGATGTTAATACCATTCAGTCGGTGTTTTCCCACTTTTAAATGACGATTTTGACCAGTCAAACATGTAATCGCAATGACAGACCTAAGAATACTTGTCCTAGATAGAACAACTATCACAGCCCGTTGTCACTGATAAAGGGGCTCGCTGCCGTATATACTCAAAAAGTATTCTTTGTTTTCACCAGAGTCTTCTGACTAAAGGCCTATTCAGAAGTGTCTTTATCTATATGCAGTGGAGAGGACGTCTAGGGAAATAAAGAATTTTAACACTAACAACACAGTCGTTCTGAACACAACTTTTTTTTAGCAGGAGAAATCAAATTAAATTTATTAAGTCCCCCCCGAAGAAGACAGTAGGTTCTGCAATTAATGGGATTTTTCGAACGGGTTTGGCGACAAACTTAGGGCCCTCTATCAGAAGTCACGGTGACAGAGACCCAAATGGCCGAGTAATTACCACGTCAAGAATCGACAACAGTGGTGAGATCACGGCGGTTAACGACTCGAGTACGGACGGACAAGCAGTCATCGCATCAACTACGAACCCCAGTGATGAGCAGGAGTACTGCCAATATAGTAGGTGTGTGGTTGCCTGGCAAACGCAACCTATAAATACTGCGCAGTTTGTGCCTCCTACTATCTTTTTCTGCAAATGTCTCTGATGATGCGTTCGAGTGAGAATTCGGAAGATCAGGCCAATAAACTCCTCGTTCCAGCGATTGTATATTCTTCTTCTCCTCAAAGGGGCCAAGTTCACTGCGCCTTCTTGATTGTAAGGCGGAATAGGAGTGCTTTAATTATTTATTGCAATAGCGACTGTCTTCATGAATTCTAGGCGACTGAAGCTCCAAGAAACAACCAGATCGCCTTATTCCGCCCTGAAATCCAGATAGACTGATGAACGGCTAGTTTGGCTGCTGACCTCTCGGTCCGTTCACTGGTGACGGATAGTGGACCGGCCTTCAGCGAAGATTAGCCGCTAAATAAGTAGGCTCTCGGTTTTGGTGAATAAGCAACGACAGACCACTGGCAGCAATGCCACTAAGGTGCGGAGGGCTGAGGTTTGACACACCGACTGGTTGGTTGGTTGATACCGCTACCCTGTGATTAGGTTGTTTAGCCAAGGCGCTATAGGAGACAACATCCAACAAACAATCCGAGCGGTTGTTGGGAACCCGACTGTACTGTAACTTCCAAAAAACACATGGAAATGGCTGATTCAAGTATTACGATTCATGTTAAGCTGTCGGGAGGAGCGTATGCGCTCGCAACCCAGGGCCAGTAGTGTGGATGAATAGAATACGAATTGGACTACTTAAGTGGGAGAGAAATGTTGGTATTGGACGCTAAAGAGTGCGAATGTTCCTGCACCCTCGTACCCTGGAGGTGCGCAGTCTTCATCAGTGTAACGCGGATGTCTGCTGCCTGTGTATAGTCCGAATCCCCGACGTAGGTGCTCGGGGAATAAAGATCCCCAGAATCAACTCCCACTTCATGCTGTACCACTGTGGTCCACGCGAATCTTCTGATAAATACGATGTGGTGATCGCCCTATCACAATATGTGAACGGTGGGAACTAGTCAATGTCGTCTCTGTGTACGCACCAATATCGGCCGCCGACCAGCGCGACAAAGAGGCTTTCCAGTTGTAACTTCAATAGTTGGTTGAAAGATTCCCTGGTTGTGCTCTGCTGATTGTGGCCGGGGTCTAGAAAGGGTGGGCAGAACCCGGCTACTCGTTTTGGACTGGACCCTTTAGAGGATGGTCAACTTTGGCACTCAGAACCGACTGTTTGTCCCCAATACGCGTTCTAGCATTGCCACAAACATCTTCGGACATGGTGTTCAGGCGACGGCAATACGGCATCAGATCTGCTGCATTCTATTTGGCTCAAGGTTCCTCATGATAACAGATATATGCCTGGCGCCGAAACCGGTAATGTCCATGAATTGGACCATATTCTCGTTCGCACACGTCGGAAAATTCACCTCACATACGCAGCCAAAATATTACGAGCAGGATGGCTTGACGTCAAAACACTTCGACAACCCAGCACCGCTGAGGCTCTGTGCACAGCAATCTGTCTCGTTCCATGACCCTAACCTGACGGAGACGTCATTAGCAAATAATTATCAATGAAGTCATCATTATATGGACAGTTGGGAAAATTCTTTCACTAACTCAGAGGCGTCGCAGTGATTGGACCAGTGTAAGAACCTTGCAGCTGCCTATTCAGATGGTTCAGACCACGTCCCGCAATGATTATTCTTTCTGTCAACACCGTAAAATGATGGCAAAGTGTGTTAAAGGTGATGGGAAAACTAGCTGGCTGGCATAACGGCCTTCATGGAGCAGATCGCAAACGTCGGTAACACTCGAAGACTCTAGAAAATCACTTTGGAAATTAGTGGTAGGCTCTCCGCACTGGGTAACTGTTCACCATGTGAATGACAGTGTTATTGCTGACAACGCGGCCAAGATCCAGCGCTGGCGTGAGCACTTCCAGCATCTTCTAGACTTTCACGATCAACTCACAATACCCCTACTCCCTGCTGCAGCGGAATTTTACCCCTCCCCAGTCTGTGCAGTATCACGAGACCACCCCATCCGAGGGAGAAATCGCAGATGGAATACAGAGACTGCACAACAAAAAGGCGCCCCGAAATCTGCAAGTCTTTTTTTCATAGATGTTTTGGCTGATTTTGAATAATTCGACAATGGCATCCTGGCTCTATGAGTCCCCATGGCGGATGATGATATATCAGCAACAATATCTTCATAATCAAGGCCTATTATCGTTCCACCACTATGCGAGTTCTCGTCCATAACAATCCGCCCCAACCGTTCGATATTCGGTTTGGCGTTCGACAAGTTTGTCACCTGTCACCCCTCCTCTTCAACTCCACAATTAACTGGATTCTCGAAAAGGTCCTACACGGAGTTCATGGTGTTAGGCTTGTACCTGGACGCCTGCTGACCGACTACGCTGACGATGTCCCGTTTGCTAGCCTTAATTTTTGGTGATTCACAGTCCGTGGTGTCCCGGGTGAATGAATTCGCGAAATCCTTCGGTTTACCCATAGACGCTGGGAATACCAAGGTGTTTTCGACCTGCATCTCTGACCAGGAGACGACACCACTCGCGGTTAAAGACGGTCAACTTGAATAAGTTGACAGTTGCGGCTTTTTCCTTTCCTCAGTTTATATGAGATCTATAGACTCAGACTGAAATTTGATATAAATATTTGGACCGAAGTCCAACAGCTACGGCGGAATAACTGCGCAATACTTGTAAACTGCTAACAGGCAGCCAGTAGTACATGCATAGGTTGCGTGATATATCATATCTGACAGCACAGGTACTATTTAAAAGCCAAAGGACAGTGAAGTGCATCGCCTTCGTCTCAAATAAGACAGTTTGCACTGGCTACGGCACCGCGAGGATATCTGAGGCCATTTAAGAAAGACGATTGAGGTGATTTGAACATGTTCTCCGTCGTCCGCCTCAAGAGCTCAGTGTTGTTGTCCTCGAATCGGTACCGCTTTCCCTGGAGACGTTGAGAAGAAGGTTAAGTCAAAAACTGGCACGACGCAGTTCGTCAAGACATGGAAGTAGCTATTTGACCTTCGGTATTCGGTCTCCGTCACTTGAGAAGAGAATGAGTCGAGCCGTACAGACCCGCTGCCGCGGACCATTGTAGGTGGAGGCACAATCAACATTATTGATGCCAGCTAGATCGGGCATGGTCACAGCTGCACTTGGTACAAGTACAAATGCAAATAAACATGAATTGAAATATTCCGGGTGGTAGCCGACAGAACGACGGCTTAGGAACTAGGCGATAGAGAAGTTTATTTAGTATTTTATGTTCAGAATGAAGATTGAAGTCCTGGGTCTCTATACCTGTACGCCAGTTGTACCTGGCTGCTGACTGCAGATAAACTAGAAGCGGCAATCTCAGCCTCTCCCGTCTTTATAGGCAAAGTTCCCGATTGCTGGTTGAGATGAAATCAGGTCATAATGTCCTCAAGCTATGGCGTGCAGTGACGATTTCCTGATTGCGCAGACATGTGGTTCAGCTCTGTCCATTATATTATAACACACAGTTATCACTCCCTCGAAGAACTGGCCCCAGTTGCTGATAACCATGATGGTACCCAAGTTAGTGCCTTGCTCCTCCCCTAGTAGATAAAAACAACTAGCCCTAATTTGAGAATTCCAATAGGTGCCCTGGAAGCAGTATTTGTTTCCTTTAGACCGAAGACTTTATCGAACTGTCCTGTATTTTCGGAAATTTACTGATTAGCATATCCTGTTTTGTATTTTTAGAGAATGTGCTGAATGATACACTGAAACGCTAAATACCCCAAATGCCGCCAAAAAGCTTTAGCGAGCTTGACAATCATACACTCTTAAGGATGAGTTAAATACATAAAAAGCGAATATAGGACTTACATTCCATGGAGTTCTTACAAAGGGTACTTCGATTAAAATCGCTTCAATCGCTCGCGCGCAGGTTCTGAAGGAGAAAAGGAGACGACAAATAAAACAACCGGCTTGAGTATGCACAATAGAGTTCCGGGATTACTTTCTGAGAAGTCGGATGACGAATGTGCTTACAAATCTCTTTTTTCTGCAGTCAGAAAGATCGCTGATAAGCACAAAGGGGACTAGAATGGCTGTTGGTGGTTTATTTACCGAAATTAACCACAGGACAATTAGACTTTAGGTTGGAAACCCATTCCCCGCAGCCATTGAGTCCGGCACCATGATGGAAACAAAGGACTCAGATCCTATTGGTTACAATCAGGACTATCCAGAATCACCCGGGACTGACCTTTGCCGACCTATGCTAATTGATGCATCGACAGCGGTTAGCTGACTAACAGCAGCAAACAGGCAAGAGGTAATCACTCCAGTTTCGCCTATGGTATTCCATCTGCGGTACTGACTACATGTCGCAATGCAACCGCTTGTTCGGCCTCTTGTCTCGGAGCTCTAAGGTTCAATGACATTCTCGTATTCCGTCCCACAGGCAGGCCAGGTCAGCTAGAGGCATTGTTTTCTAGGCGAATAATTTCATAAATTATTCAGTGCAGGACATAGAGTTAAGTCTCCGGGACATGACTTCTTAGGATGATGCCAGAAACTGCATAGAGAACGCTGGGGGACCCACTGAGGAGCCGGACCCCTCGCAGCTGTCGCGCAGGGGCAGAAAAGCGGCGAAACACGTGCCTGGGCGTTTAGTTAGTATCTCGGTCGGGAGTAGGGTGTAATACCTTTAGCATTGTTTTCTGTTTTACGTTTAGGGAATCCTGGTCTATCGTCCATTTTCAAAAGTCCGAGTGAGTAAATGGTAGTTGGGCGGTTGGGACCGGCTATCCTCACCGTGAGATTGTTCGTTATCTAAAATGACTGCGTAGACTGATACTAGTATCAGCGTGTAGTATAACATTTATCCAAGAGTTCATCGGCCCTCCCTCTCCCCAATATCAGAACCAGGCAGGTGAAAGTCGGAGGGATAAAAATACTTTGGTTATTGTGGAAACCCTCGGGACCGGAACACGTAAAAGTACAAACCATGTATTAGGAACCCTAAACGATATCTATAACGAATCCAAATTGATCAGAAACATGTGGTCTACTAATTTTCAGTACGTTTAGGCAAACAAATTTTCTCTGAGGTGCTATTCAAGCATATGAGCTCTTAAATTACATAATTTTGCTAACGTAAGTTCCCAATCAAACTTTTGTTACTAAGTAATTAGGTTTCGCATAATCTTCGTAGAGCCCTATTTTCCAAGAGGACTGTTAATCCAAAGTTGGGAGGAGAGGCTTGTTTCAATAAAGAAAAAGCCATGATTAGACTGCAATTATGTAATTTTTAATCTTTTAACTTGTTATACTTATACCTTCAAGAGAATTCATGGTTCAAACGGTGTATTAAAACGACCGACGAGTCGCAATACGGCCCTACTTGGGAGAAATTTCTACATGAACAGTTTGAATGTACAGAGACAACTGGAACTAACTGACAAATGAAAGTTCGACCGTCCTCTTCGAAGATGTCCACCGTGTGCTCCACAGAAGGGTGGATGCAGGGACGGTGACAAGCGCATGAACTGGATCATGGTGATAATGGAATTCCGTTGCATCTATCACACTCTCTTCTCCCCCACCAGGATCCGGTGTTAAGGCAGAGTTAAGAAGAGCGGATGCAGGTGGTACGACGAAAACCCGCACTTTAGTGGACGCTACCGCACCGGCTCAGATCCCACTGAGTGGGAACGCCATGCGGGCAACATTAAGGAGCCACGGCAGTCTGACTCTCAGTCCACTGGTCGGCCACTCCACACAAATACATACGTACTGGGCTGACTGTGAGATCCGAATTATCCCGACAGTTGGCGGCCTCCCAAGCCACGGTTTTTTGGCGCACTTTGATGGCTTTAGGCGCGTCAGATTGTTTATAGTGGGAACAATGCGCTGAGACGTCGACCTCGCTCCCTTTTCCTACCCCCAGGCACTAGTCCACTGTCTGAGCCTGTCAGTTGTCGGACGGGGGGAGCGGTCGGGGCGACTGACAGGGCTAGAGAGCCCGTATGATCGCGCCACATGCACGACCTGTCCCCCCCCCCTCCAAACACAAATACCAGGTCTACACACACAAGGAAGCGGCTAGGATCTCACATGCGGCAGCACAGCCGAATGGAGAAAGGAACACACTTCCCACTGACGTAAGAGTTGCCAGTGGTGTGGATGTTGGAGGTGTTCGTTTCTGGAGCATGTGTTGATGGGGAAATGTGTGGGATGTGGTCATGTGTGCGGTGATTTATTGCGAGTTTTCATGGTGACGCATGTGATCGAATAGAGCCATTCAACAGTTCAATGCACGAGGACGATTTGGGCGATTTGCTGGTGCTCCAGGCACCGTTCTGTCACTCTCTGTGAGACGGGTCCGCAAGTAACTCACCAGGTCGATGCGTGAGGTGAATGTGCGGTGCCAGTGTGGGCGGGATAGGCTGGGAGATGCTAAGTCGGCTGCCATTGTGGTGCTGCTAGTGGTGGTCACGCAGGTAGATGAGGGGTTAATTTGGACTGGAGATGGGAGAGTTGGCGGATGTGCAAGGTCTGCTAGGTGTGCCGATATTGCGATGAATTCAATTATTATGGAAACCCATGTGGCCGAATAGGCCCATGAGGTGAATGAATGTGCGTGCATAGCGTGAACAGTGTTCATGGGGTTCCTGGCACCGGTGCGCCGGTCGCAGTGCAATGGGTTCACAAGTGCCGACCAGGCCGACGCTTGAGGTGAGCATGCGACCGCAATGAGGACAGGTGGGAACCGAGTCCATATCGCCGGTGGCGAGTGGGTGGTGGTGGTCGCCGCCACCACGGAGGATGTGGCAGGGAGGATGGAGATGGCGGTGATCAACGGTGGCGGGGCATGGGGATTGTGATCACCTGTGGTGAGTGTGCTCGTCATCGTGGACGCCGTGGGGCTCGAAGTACTCAGGGAGACAGCATTTGGGATTGTCGGGCTGTTGGTGCATTGGGTCCGCAGGCTTCCAACGAAGCCGACTCGCGCGGAATGTTTATTGACAGGGGGAACATATCAAGAATGGTTTCATGTTGACGTTGCGGGTCAGGTGCGCCTGAGACTTGCGAGCCCCTCTTTTGCCATCGGCGGAGATGATCCGGTTGGGTTCATAGACTGCTGCTTCTGTCTTCTTCGGGCCGATCGGTCCTGTGCGAGGTCTTCTCAAATCTTCGGGTTGGTTTGTAGCCGCTTCAGGGTGTCTTTGTAGGAGCGGGTTTGCCGTGCTTGTCGGTGAGCACCCGTGGCGACATCTCAGTAAAAGAGTTGTTTTGGTTGGCGCTCATGATCCCTCCTCATGAGGTGGTTGCTCCATCCTAGTTACAGTTTTCACAGCATGGCGTGGATGCTGGGGATTCCAGTTCGTTCCGGAACTTCGGTGTCCGAGATCCTGTCCTGTCACCTCGAATTTCGTATCCACTGGGGAAAACTGGTGTAGAAATGATAGAGTTTCCTCATTCGTTTCTTGTAGACTGTCAAGGTCTCCGTACCATACAGCAAAGTCTTCAAGATGGCAGCGTGGTACATCTTAAGCCTGGTGTTAAGGTGGAAACGCGGTGGTTCCATACGCGGTTCTGCAGCCGGCCGAAAGCCTGACTGGCTTAGAAGACCTGGTGTGCCACTTCATCGTCGATTTCGATGCGCTGCCAAATAGGCGAAGACGCCCGCGGTTTTCGGTGCGGTTAACTGACAAGCAATGGTAAACAGAAAAAACTAGTACAACTCCGTCACGTCTGTTCTGCGTGCTAATATAGCGATGCCAAGCCATTTTGACTAGCGCTTAGTCAGTCTTCCTTTGGAAAAGGATGAATTAAACATCCAAAACTGCGTGATTAAAATTAGGCATTCAGACGCAAACGCCAGCAGCCACTATAAGTAAAAAAGAGAAGTATCCGCAAGGTCGAATGGGCGGGTAACCACTAATCGCATGTGGAAAAAATGAAATCTATGTAACAAAAACCAGTTCTTATCCTAGACAAAAACCGCTATCCTCGAAGCTACAACCGATTTCCGTGTTACATGCAAGTTAGGTACCAGCGCCTGACCTAGGTTTGCAAAGATTTCCCGTTGGAAACCGAAGCTCTTATTTTAGTCATGGGTTCTTTGAAAATCATCATACTCCATCTGAACTTGAAAGTACTAATTACCTACTCGTATAAGGGATGGATTTTTCGGTGAAAGTTGGCCGAAATTCGTAATCACAAATTGATGATTGCTGTCAGGCTCCCAGAGATAGAACGTCATGACTTGACTAACCGGTATACCTTCCGGAAGTGCGCACTGATTAAGATTCGTGAAAAGTTATTTGAACGTTGAAGAGGGGCAGACAATGCTCTAGGAATAGCAAAGCGAAAACGTTGGGCAAGCGGTCTATATATGGCAGTTAAATAGCTTTCACTTCTGACCAACATTATCCCATGGAAAAGAAAGCGCATCCGACCGATAATTTTCGATAAAAAGTGGAATTTCAGACACAATAAACTCCAATTAGATCGGAATAATGTCAAGTTTGTTATGCACTGATATAAGGTATGCATTGGCCACATTTCAGATGAAGAATGCGTACGACAATGAGTACGACAATTGAAAAAAATTGTTTGTTCGCTATAAACAAGATGGAGACGGAGTGACTATAATCAAAGGCAGGCGACAAGGCTGAATAACTCAAGACTAGCATGAATAGTGACCATACCACTCTAAGGATGGAAACGAGAAACTTTCCGAAATGTCAGTACAAACAAAATTCGGTCTATGAATCCTCTCCTTGTCCTTCCTCACATTCTTCGGGAGATAATGACCGTAATAACTCACTTGGGATCCGAACCTTCACGAAAATTGCCTTGTGCCATGAGCGCGCAGCCTTCAGCTCAGCACGCGGACGGGAAACTTTTGTGAAGCGGGAGGCATCTATTTACGCTCAGGTGAAATTCCTGAACTGGCGCCTTGATGAGAAAGTTCCATCGAAATGTTTCATATATAGATCGCCTGTGAACACTAACATATGCCAACGGACGATGCCAGACTTAATTAAGAGAATGATCAATGTACTGACACAAGACTGCCAGATTCATATTCAAAAATACCACCGAATCTACGGTCTGCCAAAGATGCACAAACCAGGCGTGCCCCTACGCCTCATCGTCGCCTTACGTTGTACCGCAACCTCTGGGCTGTCAAATTGGCTGTATCAGCGACTTTTTTCCCTACGATAGATTCGGAGTGGGCAGCAAAATCAGTTGGAAGTTCTTTTATGTGTGTCCAGTATTTAGAAATAGAGGCAGAAGAGGTGACGGTGCCATTTGAGATGATCTCGTTATTCACCTCTATCCCGTAGGTCAAGATATCGAAATTGTCGACGGCCTTCTAGGTTAACAATCTGACGATACTGGTCAACACCTCAAGCGAGTGCACATAAATGAGCTCCTGCAACTGTGTATTAAGACTTTCTGCATATTCAACGGCCAAGTTAAGGAGCAAAAGGAGGGGACACCGGTGAGCTCGTTTCCGTCAGGACTGATTGTTGAGGTGGTTTTACAGAGGCTCAAGCGACTGATCTTTTGGTCGTACTCCCGAAGTTCTGGGCGAGAAATGGACAAATGCCCTTGCACAAGATTGCACGAACATAAACAAGCACAGTGTCCTCCCGGTACCATAATCGGTGTCGAGGCATTCCCTGAGCAGGGGAATCAGCCACATGGGGAGGGTGCGGGCGAGCAACAATTCCGGTGACAGTGGGCCAAATGGCCGAGTAATCATCACATCAACATCCAACACGAATGATGAAATTGCTGCAATTAATGACTCGGACGCGGACTGACGAGCCATCAGCGTCTCAATTACAACCTCCCGGCGGTGGTCGCGAGAGCATGTGGCCCCACGGCAGCTAAATACTATAAATACTGCAATCTTTGTACCTCCACTACCTTTATCTGCGACCGTCTCTGATGATGGGTTCGAGTGATAATCCGAAACGTCATGCCAGTAAATTTCTAGTTTCAGCGATCGCATCTTCTTCTTCTGAATTACACGAACACCTGCTTTAAATCATTCTCTTGTACTTGGTACGGCTGCGATCATGCCCCATCTAGCCGGTTCCTATGATGTCCCGAACTGTACCTCTCCACGCGTGACGATCCGCGGCAGCAGATCCGGACAGTTCGACATATTCTCGTCTCCAACGACGGATGCCGATTACCAAAGGTCCAAGAACTACCTCCGTGTCTTGACGAACTGTGTCGAGCCAGGTTTTCAGTTGACCCCCTCTTCGACGCTTCCAATGAGGTAACGGTGCCGGATCGAGGGCAGTAACACTGAGTTCCTGAGGTGAACGATGATAAACATGCCCAAACCACCTCAGTCGTCGTTTTTGGATGACCTGGGTTATCCTTGCGATGTAGACGCAGTGAGCGCGGACTGTCTAATTTGAGACGAAGTACGTGTACTTCACTCAACAGATGGTCCTCAAACAGTGGTGATCAAATACCTCCAGTTTTCGCTCGTCCTCAACGCGGACAGCCCAGCATTCACAACCATAAAGAAGGATAGACCGGACAGACGTACGGCACAGATGAATCTTATTGACGATGGAGATGTCGCGTCGGATCCAGAGGCATTTTCTAGGGCTCGAGAAAACACATCGGGCAGTTTCGATTAGGGAGACAATGTCATCCTTACTCTGTCCATTCGGCAGCAATCGCCCCCTCTACCGCTCCAAGTTGACAGCCATCAATCTCGAGAGGTGCCTTCTCCTGGACAGGAATGCAGCTTGAAAATACTTTAGTATTCCCAGCGTTTATGGATAACCTGACCGATTTAGCGACCTCGTTCACCCATGACACCATAGAGTTAAGACCACCAAAAATTGAGGCAAGTAAAGCAATATCATCGGAATAGTCGAGATCAGTCAGTCGGTGTCCGGGTGCAAATTCAACTCCGTCACCTTCGTGTAGGGCCCTCCCGAGAATCCAGTCAATAGCGTAGCTGGACAGAATGGGCGACAGGATACAACCCTGCCGAACATCAGACCGAATACCAAACAGTTGCGGACCAGGGTTTGAATAGTGGTGGAGCGATAAAGGCCTTGATCATGGCAATGATTTTTGGCGGTACACCATCTAGCGCCATTATCCGCCACAGGGACTCACGATGGACGGAATCGAACGCGGCGGCAAAGTTAACTAAGCAGACGGTTGACGGTTAATAATAACTATGACGAAATTAGAGAATGCGCCTTAGTGTGAATACCTGGTCCGCTCATCCACGTCCGGCACGAAATCCGGCTTGGTTGGGCCTCATCCTAGAGTCACGCACAGCCCGGAATCGCTTGAGTAGAACAATAGCGAAGATCTTCGCAGCAATGTCGATGAGGCTTATGTCGCAGTAGTTCTCGCATCCTGTCTTATCTCCTTTCTCAAGAATAGGTACAGGGATGCCTAAGCCCCAGTCATCAGCAGCACGCTCGCTTCTCTACGCATGTTCAATCACCTCATGAAGCCAAGGCGCCAGAGTGTCTACACAAGACTTGAAGATTACAGGGGGTATATCGTCCTCTCCGGGTGTCTTGTTGTTGCGTACCTTTCGTATGGCATCGGTGACCTCTCCTTCAGAAGGCGGGTCGCATGGCACTGCACAGGTTGGAGAGGGAAGAAACTCCGCTGCAGAGGAGAGCGACAGCGGGATGGGTTGGGTATCGAATTTAAGATGTTGCTCGAAGTGCTCACGCCAATGCTCGACTTTGGTCGAGTTGTCAGCAATAAAGCCGCCATTCACGTCGACCCAACACCTTTCAGGGACAGGGTAACCAGTCAGTCATCGACTATTATGGTGCGCCAAACTCCGTGACTAGGAAGGCTGCCGACTGATGCCTCAACTCAGTCCGCGCAGTCAGCTCAGTTGTGTGCGTTTTTGAGGGGTGGCGGACTGGAGGGGTGAGAGTTAGGCTGCCACGGCTCCTGAATGTGACGCTGACTTGGACACAAGTACGACGGTCACCAAGGGGACAAAGGTCACACGAGCCCGCCAGCAGCCGACCTTGGAGTGGTCAGAGCTAGCCAGCGGCAAATGCGCAGGTCGGAGTTCGTGCAACGTACACGGCAATAGGACGAGCTAGGCGGCAAGACTGAAGGACTCAAAGGAACAGTTACCTTATTACTCTGGTGATGGAAACGAAGAAGCTTCCGAAGCGCCAGTTCTAGTATACTATGGCTTATGAACTAGCTCCCTCTTTATCTTCCTGGGGAGGTGGTAAACATGCAGACAGTCGCATGGCGACTAACACTATATACAGGTAAGGGAGTAACCGACAAAGACAATGCAGACCAGAATGGTTATTTATGACTTATTATTCATCGCCAGTCAGCCAGCTGGTCTGGGGTTCGAGCTCGGGTACTTTGGTCGTGGAACGTTAAGTAGTCCAATCCTCTACAGTTGAGCCAAGGGATCACTGTTCTGTCAATTTTTAATCGGGCTGGCCGCCGACGACAAACAGGCCGAAAATGGTGATTCCAGTCTCCATTGTCTGTCAGCAACCCCATTTATCTTCGTATGCTGTTAGTCGCTATGTCTCTGCCTGCAAGGGCTCTAGATTGGGCCCCAAGGTAGCTGCAAGGCGGCTAGTAGCATAGGCGGAATGAGACAACCGACGAGGGCACAGGAGACTGGGGTGGCCATTTCTGGCTTATTAGCCATCACCAGCTAGCCCTGCGCAACTTCAGCGCGCCCCATAGCTCGGTCGGTGAGTGTGTTTCCGACATACTTAATATTTCCGGTCGCAACCGACAGGATAACAAGACCGCGATTCAGCGGTTTGAGTGTTTAATAACGAAAAAAACGTGGGTTTCGTCCTCAGGTGACCCAAGGCCTGGGGGTAGGTAAGGCTGGCTAACGACGACTAATAAGCCGGAAATTGCCATCCCGGTCACAGAAGCAGGAATAATGATCCGTATTCCGGACTAATATTTCAATGACGAAAAAATCGTTTGTCTGTGTAACTTTCTTACGAAATGCGCACACTGCACGCAGGGAAATATTTCGATGGAGGTCGTGTTATGACGTACTGTAAATGTTAAATTCGAATTCAACGGATTGATGTACAGACAGGTCGATGAAGTCGTAACGAGGTCGTCGCTAAGGTCCATTATATGCGACGTTTTCATACGACAATTAGAATTATTTGAAATTTGTGAGTCCCTCGACAGGAGAGATTACTACGACAGGTCTGTTGATACCTCTGCTATGACAGAAAATAGAGTGGGCTTGGGTGAACTTCCTCAGAAGATGTGTAACATGCATCCGTCCACACAATGCGGGCAGCAGAAACAAAATTCTCCTCCATTCTCGTCTGTACTGCTGACCAGATGAGCAAACGGTCCAGCCGGAACACATTTTTTCCAAAGGAAAAGGTAGACAATACAGCAAAATAACTTTCACTTTTGTGCTCCTGACTCAAAAGCATGATTGATGCGTTGCTTGGCCACCAGGTCAATGAGAACGTGCTTGTTGGGCGGCATGAAAAAGCTAGTTAAAATTAAAAAATTCTAGAGCAAGAATTGGTCGGATGTGGTTATGTAGCCTCACCTGAAGTAAACAAACCCCAGCCACCTGTGATACGGAACCGGTAGTAATAGGGTTTTTTCAGGTGGAGCCTGGGATCGTACAGGTGACAAGGTCGAGTAGTTGTATGCAGCAGAAAAGCTATTAGAAATGCGCGGTTGTACTTCGAACGATTAGGAATATTTTCCTTATAACCTAGCTCTAGCCCCCTAAGTCTATTCCCAACAGTATTTTGTCCATCAGGTGGGGCCACATAACCACATCTTACCCAAGAATTAATACTTAAAGCCGTTTGTAGGAAGAATGGCTGAATTCCTGTTCAAGTCCGCATCCCAACAATTGATAACGGCCTCTGCTTGGGAGTTTTTGGCTTCTTCGCGCAGGGTGAACTTTACTATTTCTCGGCAAATTTCGTCCCGATAGAAGGATAAAAAACCATTTCAGACCATCTCTATACGTGTGTACAGTTTCACCGGTTCCTATGGAGCAATCTACATCGGTCGCACGACCAGGTATCTTTGCGAGAGAATTCGAGAATACTTGCTGGCTTCATTGGAAAAGAATGAATCAAAGACCATCTCCAGCTCTGTCCACTTGCACCTGAGCTATACGGGTCAAGGTTTGGGTGCTAAAGAAGCCCTTCGGTCAATCATTCGGTTGACGGATTGTAAGTAAAAATAACTGCGGTAATGGATCCTCGCGACAGCGAAAGTGACTAATATACATTCAGGGAACCCGATCTTCTGGGCACGTAAAGATCCTGCACGGGCTTTACGTTTTGCATGGTCCAGTGTACGAACATTCGACGCCTACCTAGATTTATGGAGCCTCTGAGCACTCTCCGCTGTCATGTATATATGTGCTGTCATTATCAATCCGACCGCCCTCTCTTCGCATGCGATCCCTTATCTTTGTCTTAAAGGGAGTTCGGGTTTTGTCTGAAGGTCTGTTTAGAGGCACCTCACCCAAAGCCTCTGCAGCTTTAGTGTCACAAGCCTTGTAAAAAAGCTTGTCCAGGGACAGACACAATTTCGGAAATAGACACGAACATGGCATCGTCTAACTGCGCGGAGACTGGCCAAAAGCGAAGATGAATGGCAAAGCCGGCAGTCCTTATAATCAGGGATGGTCTAAACCATTGGAACGAGTCTGCAATTTCTGCCAACCAGTGTTACTTAAGGCGATCTGAACAACAAAATCAACTATCCGAAATATAAACCAGACAGCCGGAAAATGCAGATCCTCCAGCGGCGAGACCACTATCCTTTTGCTAGCAATATAAAACAGAGTAAAATAAAGGAAATTGTGTACTTGGCTGTTAGTTAGATGGTCTGTTCAGCCATAAAAGATAGGTCGACTTTGGAGGGAGGTTTACCCCGGATGGAAATGACCAGCCGGTTGATGAAAGAATAGACCTTAACGTCATCTACCAGAATTGAATAAAAAGAGTACCGCCCCACAGGCTATAAAACTTAAGACCTCAGTCTGTTGTTTTAGAGCATAATTATATGTCTGAACACTCACCACTCACTGGAAGGGTAGCATCCCGCTTCGCCGCAAGAAAACTGAGCTTGTTGGAGCATACGCCCACACGCAAGAAAGCCGGCGCCAAGTTACCATTCTGCAAGGTCAACCAATGCGCCGACTCTGGGTGAGCCCACGCGTGGGCCGCTCAACACGCACGCATCCCAGTAAACCGACACACCATCATCTCCAACATGGCCCGTTGATTGGCGGAAGTCTAGCCTCTCATACACCTGATTGGTTGTTAGCATGAAGGCCACTGACGCATGATTCGCGTACGGTCTCGACAACCAGCTGAACCCATGGGCGCCTGGCCAGGACCCCGGTCCTTGCCGGCAGCCCCCCACTTCTTCCCCATAAGCGACTTTCTGTTACATCCGGCTTCAAAAAACAGATGACTTCAGGCAATTAAGGTATCCATTTCATCTGTGAGTTGCACCCTGCATGATAAATATGGGTCCTCGCAGCCGTCGTGATTTCCAAGGCCGTGAAGGTTATGACTGACATTTCCCGTTTGGGAATTTTGCGTGAGTGTTGGAGGGGCATGAGTACAATAGTACATACAGGGGACACGGGCTACTTTCCCGCTAATAGGGCTTCGTCCTGCGGGTCCTGCCACATCTAGCGTGAGTTTTAGATAGAACTTCTCAATATGGTCTCCCCAGTCGGATTGTCTTTGACTTGTTCACTTTTCCTTGAAGAGTAAATTGGTTGAGTATAATGCATGTAAGCCTGTTCATCTTAAAAAGAATTGCAAGCCATTTCAATCTGCTCCATCTCTTATCTTTTCACATTAATGGCCCTGCATTTCCCAGTGATTGGCCAGCAATCACGTATACTGATAGCACTGACGTTGTCCCTCCCATCCAAGGAGATTTCAGGCTGCAGATCTTAAAGGGTAGCCTTGATTATGCACACGCACAATTGTCAGAACACGGTCCAATGTTCAATGCTCAAAAGTCCGTTTTCAATCTTTATTCTTCTGGTGCTGTTGAGTTTTTCAAAATCCTTCTTAACGAAGTCCCAACACTCCCATATTTTGGGGCTAATCTGTTATCTAATGTGTATTTGTATCTTTGTGTTTAGCCTACTCTGATAGGGTTCGCTGACTCCAACTTTACATTCCCTCCCCTCTTCTCAGCCAATAAACTGTTAGTTGGCTGTTTGAAGGTTGTTTTCAACTTTCGGGTTGGTTTTTTGTTAGATTCTTCAGAATGGGTCATAACTGCCTTCTTATTTAATGGTACTGAAGTGCTTTCTCTTGTCCGCCGGAATTTGCGTCATAGCACTTGCTTAAATTTTGCTTATCGTGTTTCCCAGCAACTCTTCTTTGTCCGCGTCTCACTTGTCGGCAGTTGCAAACGCAGAAACGAAGATCTGATTACCTACCTGACTGACCGCTTCTATTCCTATTTGTTTTGACATCAGTTTCTATTTATTTCCCTCTACTAGGGCGTTTGCAGAAGGACTTTCGATGTCTTAATTTCATCCAAACTGAGTCGCGCGTTCGCTGTCAGCCGCGTCGGATCACAACTGATATCATCTCTCGGCATCAGAGCGCGTGGTAGCCAAACGCCGTAATCAGCTAGGGTGCTTAGTAAAGTAATAGATGCTCATTCTGGTCCTTCAAATGGTTGTAATTTGGGGGGCAACCCAAGTTCCCTAAGCAACCCTCAAGACTAGGTAGATTTCTATGCAAAGACGGAGTCAGGTTACAATAATGATGGCAACGGGTATATTTGGGACAACCAAATTTGACAATAGCAGGTCACAGATGCCTGCAGACGAGGGGCAAGACGGACAGTAGCTTAAGGAAACTCATCATTTAAATTGCATCAGTCATTCGGTCATATAGGTAAAACCCCTAGACTAGGTGTACAAGTAAGCAAAATGAGTCGAATAAGATGGGCGAGATTCTGGTGATGCGGTCCTCGCCTTCTCATAAACTGCCTATTTTAGCCTACATTTAGGAAATTTTATCAAAGTAAATCTTCATTTGATGCGTTATTAGGGACAGAGGATGGGTTTCCATGATGTTTGTGGTTTAAACAAATCCTTCCTTCGTAAAAACGTTTTCTGTTTTTATATTGCTTCTTGAAGAGAATTATTTTCTGAAACTAGGAGTAGCTCACTAGTTACTATGCCACTAACTTAACTGTGTATCTCACCACTTAAAGAACACGCTCCGCACTCTCCGTCAGGACTACTCGGCTAAACACGAAATTCCACGACATAATTTAATCTTTCCGAGTGACCTAGTCCACTGTGTCCATTCATCCAGATTTTTTTGTAATACACTGCATAGGAGAGCAGGATCGCTCTTGAATCAGAACCAGTCAACCTTAAGATAGAACACATTATGATATATTTGTATTTCTATCAAATAACATTCTTCAAATTCCTCAATAGAAGCCCGCGAACTAATTACGAGTACTTCTATGAGTTCCTTGATCAGTGATATTTGGGCTGAAGAAGCAAACCTTTCAGGAATCTGAAGGAGTCCTTTGGAGTCAATATACTGATCACACCTTTCTAATTGCCCGAAAAATCTCACGTCGAATTTCTGTTATGTATTCGACTCTCTCTTCCTGACACCAAGTTCGCAAGGCAAAACCAAAGCTTGCCTTCTTTGAGATTCTCGTTGGTAAATATGGGAATGGTAATCTGAGAATGACAGTGTGACAGTTCAAACATCGCGAACGATGATGTCCACCGTGTGACCCCCAACACGGTGGTCGCAGCGACGGTGATTTGCTCGTTATTTGGATAATATCGGTTTTAGACATGCGCAGCATCTACTGCATCCTCGCTCTCACCCTCCTGGAACAGGTGGCAAGATTAAATCGGGACGACCAGAGGTGGGAACAGGCGCAGTGGCTGACAAAGCTAAGCAGTCCGTCTATGGGTACCTCACACGCCTGGTCCGCGGAAGATGGAGCGTGTTTATACCTAAACAAAAAGGCGAAAACTCAGATCCCATCTGAATGCAGGATACTATAGAGGTCATATTAAGAATGAGGCATTGCAGCTTGACTTTCCGTTCTAAGAGGGGGACAGATTTATACCGTCAGTTGGTAGCCTACCTAGTCACGGCTCTTAGCGCTCCCTGGTAGTTTGAAAGCGCGCCAAATTTTTTAAAGCGAGGAACGGGGTCCCCAAAATCGACGCCGCCCTCTCTTCCCTCTCCCATACATCAGTAAGCTGTCCGAGCCGGTCAACCATCTAATGCGGGAATTGGACATAATTGGTTGACGTGGTGCGAGCCGGCGCCTAGACCTGCCACCACACTTCCCATGCGCGGAATTTTTTGTGGGTTTGCAGTCAGATTAACCTGCGCCGTGGCCTAATCTGGTCCCCTTGTTTGCTCCATCGCATTACCCATATGGCCAGATATAGTGAGCAAAAAGCAACAATGCATAGGAGGGTCATGTGCATCATGTGATCCATCACTCGTACAATAAGTACACCTTAGTGTATGAAAGAAGCCGCATGAGGACTCCGCGTGGGAGAACACGTGTGTCCTTTAGCAGACAGAAGGCAATGACGAACGAGTCTCACTAGGCACGTGATTAATTCAGGAGGATCGGCCGTCCACCAGCCTCCTGACTGTTGGGATTTCGACCGTGGCGAATGACTGATGGCTATGACTAGACAGATGTGCGTCAGGTCTACCTCCAAGCCCATGTTACTAACTTTCCGTGACTGAAATACCGACATTACGAACCGACTGGCGGCCACAATATCGGCCACATATCAGATAAACTCAGAAGAACAGTCGGTTTCCCATAATCTGACTGTCCTTGCACGATCATGGAGTAGTCATTTGATGACGAGACTCAGGATGTCTCGTGGCTACTTATGAACCAGGAAACATCACAGCTTTAGTCCTGCTGCCACGTCGATAAATTGACAAACGGAGTGCAAGACGGCACGCGTAAGGTCGAAGCTCCAGCACCCCGCCAAAATAGGTCAGTTTATGCATCGAATCCCCAGTTTCCCCTGGCAAACCATTTTACCCAAAATGAGTGACGCAGATTTGTACCATGTCCAACTATGGTCGCCAGGGTCGCTGCAATCATTGACAGGGACATCAGCAGAGTAGTATTGGCCAGTTTTCATACTTTGACTGATCGTCTTGTCGCTTTATTAAGGACGAACCCAAGAGAACGTCAAACGGCTCAGAATGGTATTCTTATAACCAAAATGCCAACAGTAAATTGAAATTTGATCGTCGTATCTGACGATGTCCGCCATGTTCCGCACAACAAGATGAGAGCAAGCTCGGTGACTTGCGCGTGAATTGGTTTATGATCGGAGTGGACTTGCGCAGCATCTACCCAAATCTCTCCTCCTCCCACTCGGACCTGGTGTCAAGACAGTAAAGAAGAGCGGAGGGGGATGAAAGCGTAGGTGGCCGGCACGCCCGGACCCGCATGTTGGCCCTCCACTCCACATCCCCTGTTCCACAACAAACACTTGATCAGACTTTTTACCAACAAGAGCACAATAACGGGTCAGAAGGATGAGAATACCTGGGCAGCCATGCTCACGACCTGTATAGCCAGCGGGAGCGCAAGCGCATCTACCGGCAGGGAACCAGGTGCCAGAGAACTGCTAGCGCACACCAGGCTGTGAGAGTCAAGGTTTGTTGAATAATGGCATAGCAGACGCCCACAAACCTCAAGGCCCAGAAGGTTGATGCACAGCCCTACATGGAGCCTGGACCAACACCCCTCAGAGGCAGGGCAATCAGTCATTCGTCGACTGAGAGGCACTACCCATACGCACACACACACTCCACACATGTGTGAGATTTCCAGAGGCCACGTTGAGGAGCCGTGGCAGCCCGGCGCAGCCCACCAGCCCGCCACTACACATATACACACAACTGGGCTGAGTGCATGGACTGAGGTGAGGCGTCATTCGTCAGTCTTCCCAGCCACAGTGGTTAGCGCACCATGATAGTCGCAGACTCAGATCAGAGATGCAGCAGAGGAGCCGCGTGGAGAAGGGGTAGAGAAGCACACGCCCCACTTGCGTGGGAGATGACAATCGAGTGCTTGCGTTGTGTGCTGATGATTGATGTTGTTGTGTTTTGAAGATGCTGCTGGGACTGTGTGATGGTGTGCTGTAGCTGGTGGTTGTCTACCGTAGGTTTTCATGAATGCGCATGTTGCCTTACAGACCCAAGCGTTGGCTGAATGTGCGGGGACAGTGAGGGCAGTTGAAGTGGATACTGCTAGTGTAGTTTGGTGCTTCGGACACTGGTTCGCCAGTCTCTGTGCGATGGGTTCGCAAGTGACCCACCAGCCCGATGGGTGAGGTGAATGTGCGGGGAGAGTTTGGCAGGATAGGTTGGGAGTGTCCGAGTCGACTTCGGTGGTGGTGATGATGGTGGAACTGCTGGTTGTGGGTGCGCTGGGCGGCGGGGTGTGGGCGGGCTAGGCGTGGTGAATGTGCAATGTGTGCCAGGTGTGTCGGGACTGCGGTGAATTCTGCCGTTGTAGATACACATTTGACCTAGAAGACCTATGCAGTAAGTGAATGTGCGGGACAGTGGAGGCGGATGTGGCGAATGTCGGTTGGTGCTCCGGAAACTAGTTCGCCAATCTCTGAGCGATGGTTTCGCAAGTGACCGACAGGCCGATATGTGAGGCACGTGTGCGAGCGCAATGAGAACAGTTATGAGCCGCGTCCCCATCGCCGGAGGTGGGGGCGTCCATGGTGATGGTAAATGATAATATGATGCCGGATGTCGCCCCATCAGTTGGAGGAGTTCGTGATATTATTGTGGAGGTGGTGGAGTTGGTCGTTGTGGTCGATGCCGGGGTTGGGGCAGGGTGGGTGGTGTCGGGGATTGCTGGAGGCCGGACAGCGACAGTGTGATCGGCGGTGACGGGGTGGCGGTCGGCGCGGGGTTTGCAGCAGGAGCGAGAGAGGAAGAAGTAAACCTTGAGTTGTTAGCACATTGAGTCCGAAGGTGTCCCACGATACCGATTTGCACGCGGAATGCGTGTTTGAAGCATGGGCATGAGGGAAGCAGTTAACAGTTGGCATCGAGAAGGCGAGACACTTGTGACTTACCAGCAGCTCTTTTGGCTTTGGCGGCGGCGATCCGATTTCCCTCGTAGATGGCGGCGACGGTCTTCATTTATCTCCGCCATGCCGGCCTGTTCTGGACGAGGTCCTCCCAGATCTCCGGTTGATCCGCAGTTGTTTCAGAGAATCCTTCAAAGTGTCCTTGCAACGCCGTTTTGGCCCCATGGACGACGCGTACCCGCAGCCACATCACCAAAGAAGACTTGTTGCGGTAGACGTGTTTCATCCATCCTTACGAGATGGTCGTTCGAATGTAACTGTAGTTTCCTCAGCGTGGCGCGAATGCTGAGGATTCCGGTCTGTTCTAGGACTTCGGTGTCGGAGATCCTGCCTTGCCATCTTAGCTTTATTATTCTGCCAAGGCAGCTGAGATGTAAATGACTGCATTTCTTGACATGACTGGAGTAGACGGTCCATGTCTCCGTTTCACAGAGAGGTGTCGTCGGGATTACGGCCTTGTACATCTTCAGTTCCATACTCAGTTGGAAGCCGTGACAATTGCGCACGAATTTCTCTAGATGACCGAGGGCTTGGTTTTCTCTGGAGATCTGGTAGGCAGCCTCATCTTCGATTCTGGTGTTGCTGAAAAGTGTGTTTCTGAGATAATCAAAATTGTCCACGGTTTTGAGTTGGTGACCTTCGAAAGTGATTCGAGGAGGAGTGGAGTTTTGCGTGTTGGATGATGGTTGGTGCATGACTGCTGTTTTATCCGTGTTGATAGTCAGTCCGAAGTTGACACACCCGGCGGCGAGGAGGTCCGTGCTTCACTGGATGTCCACTTCGGTCGTGGTGTTGAGCGCAGCTGGCGTCGGCGAAGAGCAGATCGCGGACTGTGGACGTTGACAGCCGCGTTCGGGCCTGTAAGAGCTTGCTGTTGAGAAGGTGCCCGTCAGTTTTCCAGGCGATGCGTATCCCGTAGCGCATCGGCATTACAAAGGGCGGAGGCTGAAGAGGGTAGGCGCGAGGACGCAGCCCTGCTTCACTCTATTGGTCACTTAGAATGCCTCGAAGATTGTACCGTTGTCCGTGACGCACGCCATAATCTTGTCGTGGAACTGACGTACCATGAGCGTGAGTCGTTCAGGACAGACGAATTTCTATACGATTTTCCACAGTCCCTCGCGATTCATCGTATCCAGGATTTTCGTCAAGTCCACGAAGGTAGTGTAGAGGCGGATTTGCTTCTCCTGGCACTTCTCTTTTAGCTGGCGAGCGCTGAAGGCCATGCCGATGGTCCTGCGGTGTCAACGGAAGCCGAATTGGCTCTCCGGTGAAGTTCCTGCTCGAGGCGTCCATTGGGGCGATAAAGGAGGATGTGGGCGAAGAACCTTCCGACGATGTTGAGTAGTAAGATACTTCAGTGATTGTCACAGAGTTGTCACTTCCCTTTGCGCCCGCATAGGTGAAAAGTGACTACGTCCTTAAAGCCCTGAGGAACTTGTCCACGGCGCCATATCTGAACTAGCGTGGTGAGTTGGTCCATCATTCGGTGGCCGATGTGCTTGTAGATTTCGACTTGAATTTCATTGGAGCCTGATACTCTTCTGCTGAAGAGTTGTTGCACGACACGGACGGTTTCCTGGAGGGTGAGCGGGAGGTCCAGGTCGACGTGGATTTCCACTTGTGAGAGCCGGTTGAGGGCGGCGTCGGAAATTGCGGAGAAACGGTTGAGGACGTTTCTGAATTGCTCGGACAAACGTTTCAGAATTTATGACATCTCCGTCGAAAGCGTCCATCCATCGGAGTTGAGAAGAGGCGTGGTTCCTTTGGTTGGGGGACCGTAGATCGCCCTGGTCGCAGCGAAGAAGCTTTTCGATCCGTTGCAGTCGGCGTATCCCTGGATCTCCTCAGCTTTGCGAGCCATTCAGGAATCCTGCATTCCCCCCAACTATTGCTACACATGGTGGTGACATTGATAGAAGGCCGCTTTCTTCGCACCGGTCTGACGCTAGAGGTAGACTATGCACAAACCGTTCATCTCGGCGTGCAGGTTACTGATGACTGCATCGTTGTCGTCGGACCTGTCCTGGTGCTGAGGAAGTGCGCGACCGAGTCAATCAGGGCGGTCGGACTAACGGCGTACCGTAATTGTTACAATCGAATCTCCACGGCGGATTTTTCATCTGGAACTGGCAGGTTTTCCTGCCGCTCGGTCGGTCGATTGCTGAAATGCAAACTGTGAGCAGACAAAGACAAGAAAGCGGTATTCAACTTGCCTGGTGGTCGCTTACCTTGTGGCCTCCTGCGGGGTCGCAGACGGAGCCTCACTTTGGAGAGGCGATGGTCCGTCCAGTCATCAGCGTCGCAGGTAGCTTTTATTCACCATCACGTCCTGTCGATTGCGCCTCCGGAAGAAAACATAGTCCACCAGCTGCCGGCGCTGCAATCGGGGGTGTATCCAGGTGGCCTTCTTCCGCATCGGCAGACGGACGAGTGTGGTGGTTAGCAGAAGGCCGTGACTTGCACAGGTTCGCAGGGGGAGGAGGAGGAGGGGGGAGGAGGAGGAGTAGGAGGAGGAGGAGGAGGAGGAGGAGGAGGAAGAGCCCATTGCCGTTGCAGCCGCCGATCCCGCGAGGACCCAGCACCCTCTTCCAGGCAGCGCAGTCTGAGAAAGTTTCGAAAACGCAGTCCTGCTGGGAAATGGTGAAGCGCAGGCGCGTCCAATACGGTAAACGTAGTAAAAGGGGCTTTACGGGTGAGGCTGCGGAAAAACAGTGTAGAATGTGCGTAAACTTAAGGGGAAACAAGTATTGTAGGTAAATAGGCTAGTTTGTTTTGGCATGTACTAAAATCACAGTGTAAGCCGCACGCAACAAAAAATTCTCTGCAGGTAACCAGTAAAACCAATACCACGAAGAATAAGATGATTGGCTCGTCAAGATCATCGAAATCGAACCGTCGAAAATCGAACCAAACAGACATAAGTCGTAGACGAAAATTATAGGAAGTGGGTGCCGAATGACTCCTTAACCCTAAACCCTAACCTTTATGCTAACCTTGAAACGTTAAACACTAAGACCCGAATCCTATTCCTGACTATAAAGCCCGAACTCTATTCTTAACCGTGAGATCCCGACCCTAACGTAATTGTGAATCATAGTCGAGCAATCCACGAAGCATCTCAAAATGCAAGAATCCACAAGTAATTTTACTCTTGCTGAAATCCATAACGGCACGGAAGTGATAATTTGTTCCCCAAGCGGGACCGCGTTTCCGAGCCCCACCACACTCTGTCCCGACGCGGGCTTTGAAGTCGCCAAGGACAATCGGCTTATCCGCCTTCAGCACAATCGCAAGGAGGGCGTGCAGGTCCTCGTAGAATTTGTTACTTGCCGCGTCAGAGCAAGTCATCGGCGGGGGGGGGGACGTAGACGCTGACGATGATGGCGAATTTACCTCTCCGAAGAGACAGGCGGAGGCTCATCAGGCGACCGTTGATACCCTGCGGCACATAGAGCAGTAGTTCCGAAGAGAAAAGCCGACACCCGCGTCTCGTTGCTCTACCTTGCGGTGACAGTTCCATAGAAAGTTGTAGCCGGCACCCACCTCCAGTTGGTCTTGTTCGGAAAACGTGTCTCGCTGAGTGCAGTGATGTCCACCTTGTGGTGCGCCTGTTCCCGTGCGACTGGTGCCATCCTCTTCACCGGTTGGTTGCTCTTGGGATTGTCTAAAGGGGAACGAACATGTCAGGCTGCCAGAGTGAGCGGACCCATCCTAGTTGCCCGTGGGGTGGGGCGGAGGGGAGGAGGAGGAAGAGAGATAATATTTTTTCTTGTGTTTTAGTTTCGACCGTATGTTAAGCAGTTTGCGAGCCACGGTCTGCGCGCAGATGCCGCCAACCCAGCATTATCTAGGCCACTTTTTCTATCCCCCTCCCCTTCGAGGGGAGCTGCTTGGTCACACCAGATGGCAGCCCTCTCCATTCTGTACCACTAGGTTTAATGAGAGAACGACCCAAGTTAGCCTGGACCGCCTACGTGATTGCATATCGTCCTCGCCGTCGGACTTTCGAACATGGGAGAAAAGACTAGAGTAGAGCGGGGGGAGAAGGGGAGGAGAAGTGGGGAGAAGGGGGTAAGGGAGGGGGAGAAGGAAGTGGAGAGAAGGGTAGGAGAGTGGGGTAAGAGAATGGGAGAGGGACGCAGAGTTACCGTGTGTGAAGATACACACACGGATACCCTCACCCAGTTTAACCTGCCGTTCCTGGCGGTTACCGGGTTATGGCCGCTTTGGAGAGCCTAGTTTCCTGGAACCACATGTGAGAGTTTGTGACAGGTAATGGACGCTAGGCGTAGTCAGCATATGCAAACAAGTGAGCGACCTGCTACGACCATCACGTAGACTCACAACTGGACACCCCTACAGTGACCGGGCGGCTGATCCTAGGGAACAGTTCGATGGGTTACTAAAAGACCGAAGAATTCCTGCCACGAGATGTGACCTCTCACTTTATCTATAATTTTCTACGTAGCTCTTGACAATTAAGTTTTTGGAGAAACCGGTAGACAACCACGAACACGCACGAACTACCACGCCAAGATAGTGGAAGAAACTTTTTTGCTATCTATGATGAAGTATGCGTCGCAAATGAACATACGCCCATCGTCGAGGATGCCAAAAATACGCAATTTAGGGATTGACCACACGGCCACGCGCAAAAGCTCGGTATCGACCGATAGTCGCTTCACCCTACGGCGTCTCAGAGTCCATGGACATACTATAATCGACGAGATGACGGGGTGCGACGCAGGTAGTACGCGGGTGGACGCTGTCAATGAGACGGTGAGTAACGTTAGTATTTACGCCGGTGATGGTTGCGTTAGGTAATCAACAGCGCCTCCGGCCCCAGCTCACGGTCGACCCGACGCGCTAGGCTGCAGAAGAACGATTGCAGCGATGACCTTCAAACCACAACCGGATGACCCTGGACCAGTAATCAGTCAACGCGCCATGAACATTGTTCAATACTGTGTAGCGCAGTTTCTGTAGATGCTCTTTCTACGAAGACTCTTCCGCTATCGAACTCTCATAGTATTACACTTTCAGCGTCTTATATGCCTCCTCCCCCTTCTCCTCCTCCTCCTCCTCCTCCTCTTCCCAATAAATGTTCATTGACTCTTTGCCCTTCTTTCCATCTGCATAAAAGAACCTTCTGTACTGCGTGCCCTCTTATCAATCTTTGCCCTAATGTGTGTATTTTTTCGACAGATAGAAGTAAAAACGAGTAACAATTGTTTGAATTAAAAGAAAGTTGAAAAACCAAAAAGAAGTCGTGTGGACCTGATTCACTTTCTGAATGGGATCAAATATGACAGCATTCACATGACTGAATGGTATTTACTGGTCGTAGTGCCTTAATAATTTACAAGACCTATGAAAAATTGTGGACAAGCTGAGAAACACAGTGAGACGATAGAAGGCGGCACTGCAGTTTCAACTTGACTAGAAAAGTTGCCCCCATAACTAAAGAAAGCCGACTTTAACTATAAACACAGTTCTGCTAGTACAAAGGTAAATGGCTAGGTGAGTTACTTGTACGCACAATTTCTGAACTCATGCGCCTTTTTCTGGTCACTTAGATTATTCGTAAACAGAATGGGGATCGGTAAGACATGAACAAATGGAGCTTTGGGAGGCGAGACATTAACCTCTAATTGCAACCAATAAAACCAGTTGGGGCGTAAAATTTTTCCTTAAAGTGTTATACTATGTGAACACGTGTCTTACCTGCATTATCAGGGGAGTTCATCCAAAGGTAGTCTTCGATTAGATGGAACTGATGGGCTTACGACGTCGGCATCACGGGTGTAGAAAATCACGCAGCCTATTCGATATCACTAATCATATGGTCATTTTTGAATCCTCGTACGGTAAAATACTGAAGCCTTACGATTAAGGCGACTGTGAGCTAATTAAAAGTCCTTCGTGACATTCAGCGATAGTGCAGGTGTTCAGACAATGTCAGACGGAGGGAAACGATGTTCTGGCATTCTGGTCCACTCGAATTCTAATCGGTACCGTTGGGTGGTGCCGATTAAGGTGGAGTGCGACCGCTGGCATTTTTATATGCGAACTTGAAGACGCCCGCTGATTTGTCTAATGTAAGAGACATTTTCAAGTTGCTAAAACACAGCACTTCTATTTGTAGTATGTGATGCGTGGTCCTTGCTCTGCGCTAAACTGAAATGAAACCAAGGCCGACTGAAGCCCACGTCAGACGACTGCTGGTAGTCTGCACGTCAGTTATTGTGTGGTTTTTTTGCCTAATGCCCCATACGTGTTTTGCATGAAGGGGCATCTCTCCAAATAGTTGGCTTAAATAACTGTCAGGAATTCCTTTTTCCTTAAAATCTCATGACTAACTAATGTATCGTCTAGTGAGTATTACGCTTTTGCAACCACATGCTTATTGAGAGGCTTTCATTTGCCAGGGAATTTATTCTCATGCTAGTAGTAAGTGTTCACGGCATGCAACCTGCTACTATTAGTAGATATTTGAGGCAGCATCATGGCGGAATCGTCAACCTTACTCTTTTATTTTGTTTGCCAGTTGGTAGGGCAGCGGTTATTCGTGGCAGCTGAGACGCCAGCTACCTGGAACACCACCGATTTCTCGTATTGCTGATTATTTCTTTGGGACGATTAGCTGATAACAGGTTTCTCACTGACTCCCTGGTAGAGGTTAGTATGGTTCCTTCCGCAGTCTCTGGCGGCAAGCGACTTAACTTGTTTCCTGACGGCGACCAACAAATTCGGCTATCCACACATACGGTCAGTGTTCGGCCGCATCTGAATTCGGCTTATGGGACATACTCAAGTAGGCGTTTGTTAATGCTGATGTGCCACACTATAGTAAACGCTGAATCGTTCGTCCGCTACGATCCGATCAATCTAAGGCACGGTTGGCTCTTTGACTAGCCCTTGTTCAACGAGCGTCCATACTCCCGCCGTTATTATGCGGGCTTCATACTGCCCTTATATCACGCACAAGTCACCGTTCTTGCTCCACCTTGTTGTGGGGAACACGGTGGGCATCTTCGGAAACGACAGTCGAGCTGTCTATTGTAAACCCATTTCCGAACCTGGCGAATGTCCCGTCTCGAGATGTGCACGTCAAGCAAACTTCACAAATCATACTAACACCGTGAATTTTACAAAGTCCTCCGGACCACTTCGCCTCTCTCCAACTCGTTTGAAAATCGGCAAGACACTTATTGCACAAGCCTGGGAATGGAATCATAATGCAGTTCAGGCTTTGACCCTAAATCTTGTCCTCATGAATACGGCTGGCGACTGGCAACCGTAATGCGGCCGCCGAGAAATAAAATCGGTTATGCCTCTGAACTCGCGCCCAGTCACAGGCACACTGAGCTTTACGATTTCGTTACGGTTATCGTTGAGTGTTCCTCAAAAACCTGGTTCTTGCTCGCCATTTAATACGGATCATGTTCATTGGCATGCCCGAAACCGGCCGCATCACCCTTTTGGATAGTTTGGGCGCATTCTCATGACATAAAGTTGAAAGAGTGCTGCCTAACTGGTTAGAAA